GACTATTGACTATATATTGTAAAGACAATATGTAGACAATCTATAGTCCAGTCTATAGACAATTTATAGAAAATCTATATTCCAGACTATAGGCAATATAGGGTCCAGACTTTAAACAATCTGTAATCCTGACTATTGACTATATATAGTCAAGACGTCTATAGTCTTGACTATAGTCTAACCTTTACTCCAGATTATAGACAATCTATACTCCAGGCTATAGAAAATATAAAGTCTAGACTATAGACAATCCATAGACCAAACTATAGACAATCTATAGCCCAGACTATAAAGCTTATAATAAAGCTCTACAGTTGTTATTTAAATAACATGAATTCTCTAGAAAATGTATTTTATTTTTAATTTAAAAACTCAAATCCCTTTCTCCCCTCTATCTTTTATTCCTTAAATGTTAACATTAATATGTAACTTTTATAAGTGTATAATTATGGTAATTCATAATTTATTTTAATTTTCTTCTTTTCTTTTTTGTTATTTTTTGCTTATTATTATACTTATTACAAAACAAACTTGGAACTTAACAAAAGCCGTCTACAATTGGCAACAAAAATTATATAATAAAAGCAGAAAAATGAATGTGAATTATTTTGTTATAAAACTCAAAAGTAGAAAGAAGAGAAATGTTGTATGTAATTTATGTTTTATTTACATGTATTATTATATTATTCCTCATACGCCTTGTAGAACAAATGGTGATTTAAAATTTTGTTTTGGGAAAAGAAAGGTTTATGGAGTTTAAAGTCGTTTTTAAGTAAATTTAAATTCCATTTAAAGTTTTAATCTTGGAGCCTCCTAAATTCCTTTTAAAACTACAAACTTAGAACTACCAATTCCATATCACTCATACGCTCTGTTTTTTATATTTATCTGTGTTTGCAATTGTTTTTTGCTTTTGTTTTTTTTTCCTTTGTTTTTTACGTAATTATCTAGGCTCATTAGTAATGCATCGTTGACTTAAATGGGGTGTTATAGAAAAACCAAACAAACAAATAAACCTCTATTCCCACCCCTTTTAATAGGACATTAACGTTATAAAGTAGCAGCTAAGTATGCAACACAATTTTTACGCTAAAAAACTTGTTTTTTTCGTTCTCTACAGCAGGGAACATAAAAAATGCTTTATGGAAAATAGAACCAGAAATGACATCACACAAGTAAACAACGTTATTTTTCTTTGATACTCATACATAGACATTTACACATTTATTTACTCACTTAACTATTCCAAAACACATGGGTACTTTTTTATACATGAGAAAGAAAGCAAAAAACAACAAAAACACGTAAATATTATGGAAAAGCAAAATAGAAGAAAAAACACACAATAATGGCCGCAGGAAATTGAATTTAGACAAATTGTAAAGGAAAAATAATGAAATCAAATTGAAAGATTTTAAGGAAATTTAACAAAACCAAGATTTTATATTAAACATTTCGAACAAATTTCAAAAGAACAAGAACAAAACTAGAACTTGATCCGAACCAGAACAGGACTAGAACAGAACTAGTACAGAACTAGTACAGAACTAGAACAGAACTAGAACAGAACTAGAACAGAACTAGAACAGAACTAGAACAGAACTAGAACAGAACTAGAACTAGAACAGAACTAGAACAGAACTAGAACAGAACTAGAACAGAACTAGAACAGAACTAGAACAGAACTAGAACAGAACTAGAACAGAACTAGAACAGAACTAGAACAGAACTAGAACAGAACTAGAACAGAACTAGAACAGAACTAGAACTAGAACAGAACTAGAACAGAACTAGAACAGAACTAGAACAGAACTAGAACAGAACTAGAACAGAACTAGAACAGAACTAGAACAGAACTAGAACAGAACTAGAACAGAACTAGAACAGAACTAGAACAGAACTAGAACAGAACTAGAACAGAACTAGAACAGAACTAGAACAGAACTAAACAGAACTAGAACAGAACTAGAACAGAACTAGAACAGAACTAGAACAGAACTAGAACAGAACTAGAACAGAACTAGAACAGAACTAGAACAAACTAGAACAGAACAGAACTAGAACAGAACTAGAACAGAACTAGAACAGAACTAGAACAGAACTAGAACAGAACTAGACTAGAACAGAACTAGAACAGAACTAGAACAGAACTAGAACAGAACTAGAACAGAACTAGAACAGAACTAGAACAGAACTAGAACAGAACTAGAACAGAACTAGAACAGAACTAGAACAGAACTAGAACAGAACTAGAACCAGAACTCGAACAGAACTAGAACAGAACTAGAACAGAACTTAGAACAGAACTAGAACAGAACTAGAACAGAACTAGAACAGAACTAGAACAGAACTAGAACAGAATAGAACAGAACTAGAACAGAACTAGAACAGAACTAGAACAGAACTAGAACAGAACTAGAACAGAACTAGAACAGAACTAGAACAGAACTAGAACAGAACTAGAACAGAACTAGAACAGAACTAGAACAGAACTAGAACAGAACTAGAACAGAACTAGAACAGAACTAGAACAGAACTAGAACAGAACTAGAACAGAACTAGAACAGAACTAGAACAGAACTAGAACAGAACTAGAACAGAACTAGAACAGAACTAGAACAGAACTAGAACAGAACTAGAACAGAACTAGAACAGAACTAGAACAGAACTAGAACAGAACTAGAACAGAACTAGAACAGAACTAGAACAGAACTAGAACAGAACTAGAACAGAACTAGAACAGAACTAGAACAGAACTAGAACAGAACTAGAACAGAACTAGAACAGAACTAGAACAGAACTAGAACAGAACTAGAACAGAACTAGAACAGAACTAGAACAGAACTAGAACAGAACTAGAACAGAACTAGAACAGAACTAGAACAGAACTAGAACAGAACTAGAACAGAACTAGAACAGAACTAGAACAGAACTAGAACAGAACTAGAACAGAACTAGAACAGAACTAGAACAGAACTAGAACAGAACTAGAACAGAACTAGAACAGAACTAGAACAGAACTAGAACAGAACTAGAACAGAACTAGAACAGAACTAGAACAGAACTAGAACAGAACTAGAACAGAACTAGAACAGAACTAGAACAGAACTAGAACAGAACTAGAACAGAACTAGAACAGAACTAGAACAGAACTAGAACAGAACTAGAACAGAACTAGAACAGAACTAGAACAGAACTAGAACAGAACTAGAACAGAACTAGAACAGAACTAGAACAGAACTAGAACAGAACTAGAACAGAACTAGAACAGAACTAGAACAGAACTAGAACAGAACTAGAACAGAACTAGAACAGAACTAGAACAGAACTAGAACAGAACTAGAACAGAACTAGAACAGAACTAGAACAGAACTAGAACAGAACTAGAACAGAACTAGAACAGAACTAGAACAGAACTAGAACAGAACTAGAACAGAACTAGAACAGAACTAGAACAGAACTAGAACAGAACTAGAACAGAACTAGAACAGAACTAGAACAGAACTAGAACAGAACTAGAACAGAACTAGAACAGAACTAGAACAGAACTAGAACAGAACTAGAACAGAACTAGAACAGAACTAGAACAGAACTAGAACAGAACTAGAACAGAACTAGAACAGAACTAGAACAGAACTAGAACAGAACTAGAACAGAACTAGAACAGAACTAGAACAGAACTAGAACAGAACTAGAACAGAACTAGAACAGAACTAGAACAGAACTAGACAGAACTAGAACAGAACTAGAACAGAACTAGAACAGAACTAGAACAGAACTAGAACAGAACTAGAACAGAACTAGAACAGAACTAGAACAGAACTAGAACAGAACTAGAACAGAACTAGAACAGAACTAGAACAGAACTAGAACAGAACTAGAACAGAACTAGAACAGAACTAGAACAGAACTAGAACAGAACTAGAACAGAACTAGAACAGAACTAGAACAGAACTAGAACAGAACTAGAACAGAACTAGAACAGAACTAGAACAGAACTAGAACAGAACTAGAACAGAACTAGAACAGAACTAGAACAGAACTAGAACAGAACTAGAACAGAACTAGAACAGAACTAGAACAGAACTAGAACAGAACTAGAACAGAACTAGAACAGAACTAGAACAGAACTAGAACAGAACTAGAACAGAACTAGAACAGAACTAGAACAGAACTAGAACAGAACTAGAACAGAACTAGAACAGAACTAGAACAGAACTAGAACAGAACTAGAACAGAACTAGAACAGAACTAGAACAGAACTAGAACAGAACTAGAACAGAACTAGAACAGAACTAGAACAGAACTAGAACAGAACTAGAACAGAACTAGAACAGAACTAGAACAGAACTAGAACAGAACTAGAACAGAACTAGAACAGAACTATAACAGAACTAAACAGAACTAGAACCGATCTAGAATATAACTAGAACAGTGCTAGAATTTTTTTAAGTTGTTGATTTCTTATCAAAATTTTAAATTTTTAGAAAAACTTTAAAGTGTTTTTGATTATTTTATGAAACTTTTAAATTTTATAGAAAATTTTTTGAAGAAATTTATTTTTTTTTTAAATTTTGAGGATTTTTTTTTTTTTTTTTGTAATTTTTCTATTTTTTTCTTTTATAAGAATTATTTTATTTATGTAAAAAATCTATTAAAATACTATAAAATTTAGCTTGAAAATACGCAAACATCACGTGCTAAGATGATTTGGTTAAATTTCCTTTTTTCGTTTCTTTTTTTTCTCTCACAACTTTTTTACTATTACGTCAAGTAAACTAAAAAAAATAGCAAAAACTTAGTTCTTAAATTAAAAAATAAGTTCTTTAAATAAAAGAAAATTAAGAAAATTTTCTTTAAATATAACAAAATTATACAATTATCTGTTTTTTTAACCAGAAAAAAATGGTGGAGTTTTTTGTACATTTAAAGAGAGTTTTTATTTTTCCAAATCTAGAAACAAAAATTTGTCATACAACATAAATTGGATTAATATTCACCTTGTTTTTTTGTTTGTCTAAAAAAAATATATTCCTTTAGTTTGCAAATTATTTAAACACTTTATTTATTTGAAATTTTATTAAACAAATTCTTGTTTAATTTAACAAAAATTTTCTTTTATTAAGAAATTTTATTAAATTATTTTTATATTAAAACATTTTCAGTAGTTGTTTTTCTTAAGATTTTCTATATAATCTATATATTTTTCTTTTCTAACACACAAATTTCTATTTAAATTTCTTTACGTTTTTAGCGTTTTTATAACCGAACATAACAGCGCACGACTCAAAACTGCATTTTCACAAATAATTAAAAACAATCGAAACTCTTTGCTATATCCTCCTCAGAAAAAAAATACACACTCTCACTCTCTCTCTTCATCTCTCTTTCGCCAAATAATAACAAATCTATGCTTTTACAATAACAAAAATAAAAGTATAAAAGCATAAACATGAGTAAAAGCAAGCACATCAACCGTTAGGGGGAGGATTTTGCGCACTTGTTATGTTTTTGTTTTGCTAATTTTTTCATTTACAATAACAACAATATACATATGTTATTATTAGTGTTAACAACAAAGACAAAACTCCCCCTTAACAATTAAAATTTTAACAGTAAAACTTAAACGAGAGCTTGAGAGTCAACAAAGCAAAATGGCAAAAGAGAGTGAATCAGAAGTAGAGAGAGAGAGAGCAAGTGAAATCATCATTATAAAAGGGAGAGATTTAGAGTTGTATTTTGTTGTAAATGATATCAGCTGTTTTGAAAAGAAAACTAAATTTAAAAAACTCAACGAATTAGTTCAGTTCTAGTTCTGTTCTAGTTCAGTTCTAGTTCTGTTCCAGTTCTGTTCTAGTTCTATTCTAGTTCTGTTCTAGTTCTGTTCTAGTTCTGTTCTAGTTCTGTTCTAGTTCTGTTCTAGTTCTGTTCTAGTTCTGTTCTAGTTCTGTTCTAGTTCTGTTCTAGTTCTGTTCTAGTTCTGTTCTAGTTCTGTTCTAGTTCTGTTCTAGTTCTGTTCTAGTTCTGTTCTAGTTCTGTTCTAGTTCTGTTCTAGTTCAGTTCTAGTTCTGTTCTAGTTCTGTTCTAGTTCTGTTCTAGTTCTGTTCTAGTTCTGTTCTAGTTCTGTTCTAGTTCTGTTCTAGTTCTGTTCTAGTTCTGTTCTAGTTATGTTCTAGTTCCGTTCTAGTTCTGTTCTAGTTCAGTTCTAGTTCTGTTCTAGTTCTGTTCTAGTTCTGTTCTAGTTCTGTTCTAGTTCTGTTCTAGTTCTGTTCTAGTTCTGTTCTAGTTCTGTTCTAGTTCTGTTCTAGTTCTGTTCTAGTTCTGTTCTAGTTCTGTTCTAGTTCTGTTCTAGTTCTGTTCTAGTTCTGTTCTAGTTCTGTTCTAGTTCTGTTCTAGTTCTGTTCGAGTTCTGTTCTAGTTCTGTTCTAGTTCTGCTCTAGTTCTGTTCTAGTTCTGTTCTAGTTCTGTTCTAGTTCTGTTCTAGTTCTGTTCTAGTTCTGTTCTAGTTCTGTTCTAGTTCTGTTCTAGTTCTGTTCTAGTTCTGTTCTAGTTCTGTTCTAGTTCTGTTCTAGTTCTGTTCTAGTTCTGTTCTAGTTCTGTTCTAGTTCTGTTCTAGTTCTGTTCTAGTTCTGTTCTAGTTCTGTTCTAGTTCTGTTCTAGTTCTGTTCTAGTTCTGTTCTAGTTATATTCTAGTTCTAGTTCTGTTCTAGTTCTGTTCTAGTTCTGTTCTAGTTCTGTTCTAGTTCTGTTCCAGTTATGTTCTAGTTCTGTTCTAGTTCTGTTCTAGTTCTGTTCTAGTTCTGTTCTAGTTTGGAAATTTAAAAATTTTAAAAACTTATCGAAACTTTATTTTTTTATTAATTCAACTTAAAAACCTTTAATAACTAACTATTTATAATAATTCATTCATTACTTTAACCAATAAAACTACGTTCTTCCGTTTGCTATTTTATAGGGATTTTATAAGGATTTTTCTAATTTACTCATTCACTCTGACGTCAGTAGACACAACACAATAATAAATGACATCCATCCCTCTATATAAAGAACAAACAAGAACAAAAAACACAAAAACCTAAAGAATTCTATCTAACTAAAACTAACGTAAACAAAAATACTAGAGACAACAAAAAAACAAGTAGAATTAAGGAATTATAGAAAAAGTGCAAAACAACAAGACAGTTAACGGTTTTAAAAAAGAACATTTCGTTGCGAAGGCGTTATGAATAAAGATGTGTGTTGCAGCAACACAAACACACGCCAAAACCATTCATACAAAACAACGTCATAAAGCAGAAACAAATCTAGGCTCTTGTTTTGGTCTAACTCCCTGTAGCTACCCCTTCCCCTCAACCTTCCTACCTGCCTTCCCACGCTCTCTTCATCATTAGCAAATTTTTGAATGCAGTTTAATAGCAATTGTCCTGCAATTTCTAACAAAAATTTGCTAAATTTAAAAAATTTAACTATTTTCCAAAAAAGTACTTAATCTACTACCTTTTCAAAATATAGTAATTTTTGCATTTTTAGTTAGTTATAGCCAAAATTATATTAAAAATTTCCATAAAAACATGTTTTTGTAACATTTTCAAAAAAGTACTAAATCTACTACTTTTTTAAAAAATTAAATTGTTTGCATTTTTAGCAACTTTAAGGCAAAATTAACTAAAAAATTACATAAAAACACGTTTTTGCCAATTTTTAAAAAAAGTACTAAATCTACTACCTTTTTAAAAATTTATTACTTTTGCATTTTCAGTATGTTTTAGTTAACACTACATTCAAAATGACATAAAAATCTATTTCTGGCAAGTTTTTAAAAAAGTACTTAATCTACTACTTTTTTAAAATAGCAATTTGTTTGATATTTTCAGTAATTTTATGCTTAAATTACACAAACAATAGCAATGTTTTACAAATATTTGCTAAAATTAACGATTTTAACTAATTTTAGAAAAAGTACTAAAACTACTACTTTTCTAAAAAAACATATTTTCTGTAACTTTTAGTTAAATAATATAAGCAATAACAAATTTTAACAAAAATGTATCAAAATTAACAAATTTAGCTACATTTAAAAAAGTACTAAATCTACTACTTTTTTCTAAAAGCTATTTTTTGGCATTTTCAGTATGTTTTAGCTATAATTACATTCAAAATTACATAAAAACAAGTTTTTGATAGTTTAAAAAAAAAGTACTAAATCTACTACTTTTTTAAAAACATATTTATTGCATTTTCAGTACGTTTTAGATAAAACTACATTAAAGAATATTATTTTTGACAGAAATTTGCTAAAAACGACAAAAATTAAAAAGGTACTTAATCTACTACTCTTTTAAAAAAGCAAACTTTTTGGCATTTTCAGTAGATTTTAACTATAATTACATTCGAAATAACATAAAAACTAGTTTTCAAAAAAGTACTAAATCTATTACTTTTTTTAAAAAGCAATTTTTAGCATTTTCTGTAACCTTTAGGCAAAATTACATTCAAAAAGACATAAAAACATGTTTTTGTAAACTTTTCAAAAAAGTACTAAATCTACTACCTTTTTCAAAAACCAAATTTTTGCTATTTTCTGTAATTTTTAGCCAAACTATATTAAAAATAACTTAAAAACTAGTTTTTGCTAACTTTTAAAAAAAGTACTAAATCTACTACCTTATTCAAAAACCAAATTTTTGCTATTTTCTGTAATTTTTAGCCAAAACTACATTAAAAATAACTTTAAAACTAGTTTTTGCTAAATTTAAAAAAAAAGTATTAAATCTACTACTTTTTTAAAAAAGCAAATTTTTAGCATTTTTTAGGTTTTCTCTAATATAAATTAACTAAAATTAAGAAAATTTGATATTTTTTGAAAAAGTACTAAAACTTTTAGTTAAATTTGTTGGTCTTTAAAGTTTTTTATTTTCCTTAAGCTTTTAAATTTCCAGCAATTTATGTTAAAAGCTTTCATTTAATTATAAATTTCTAAAGAAATCCTGTTGCCAACAAGTGAAAGTAAAGAAATTATAACAATTTTCTAAGAAATAACACACACCAACCCTAAAACATGTGGCAGCACCAGACATTTAGAGTGGGAGGTGAAAGATAAAGAGAGTGAAATTTTCAAAGGGGGCAGGAGTGAAAACAATAAATGAAATGAAAATTCGAAAAAACACTGGCAAAACAATTAAGTCTAATACAAAAAGCTAGAAAAAGAAAAAAACCAACATAAATATTTAAACATAAAAAGGACTCTCTCCCCAAAGGGAGTAGTATAACATATGAAGAAAGTGTAGTATACTTTTGGGCGATATGTTTAAGTAAATATGGCGTCTGTTGTGATGTTGTTTTTGATGACGTTAGGATGATGATGCTGCTGTTTGAGTAAATAAAATATTAAATGGAACATTTTGGCGTCAATGAGTCTGAGCAGCTGGGTTTTAGAGGTAAAATATAGAAGAACAAAAAAAACTTTAGAAAAAAACTTATAAATATTATATGCATGTGTTAACTTGTTACTCTCAATTCTAATGGTATTGAACTTTTTCTAATCCTACACAATAAGTAGAAGAAGAAGCAGAAAAAAACCCAAATGAAAACAAAGAAAATATGAATGAAAAGTTGAAACCAAGTTCACACCACAATTTACAAGGACTTGTTCAAACAAAAACAATCACAACAAATCCTCTTTAACGAAATTGGAAACTTTGTTTCTGTTAACAATATAAAGCTATTTTTAGCTTAATGTTGTGGGAAAATTCTAAGGAAAACTTACAACAAAAAGGGAATTTAGTTAAAATTAATAATTCAATAACTATTAAAGAATTTTACAAGTTTTTGAGCTATTTTAGTATATTTCTAATGAAAATTTATAGAAAATTTACAAATTGAACAATATTTACAAAAAGTACTAAATCTACTACTTTTTTCAAAATGCTAATTTTTCCCATTTTCCATTACTTTTAGCTAAAATTACATCGAAAATTATGTAAATGCAGGTTTTGGCAGTTTTTCAAAAAAGTACTAAATCTACTACTTTTTTAAAAAATCTAAATTTTGGCATTTTTTGTAAGTTTTATCAAAAATTACATCAAAAATTAACTAAAAACATGTTTTTAATAAGTTTTCAAAAAAGTATTAAATCTACTACTTTTTTCAAAAAGCAAATTTTTCTTACATTCAGTATGTTTTAACCAAATTTTCATTAAAAATAACCTAAAAACTTGTTTTTTGGTAAATTTTAAAAAAGTACTAAATCTACTACTTTTTTCAAAATGTAAATTTTTAACATTTTCAGCATGCTTTTTGCCAAATTTTACTAAAAATGACATAAAAACATGTTTTTGTTAAGTTTTAAAAAAGGTACTAAATCTACTACTTTTTTAAAAATCAAACTTTTTTCCATTTTCAGTATGTTTTAGCCCAAAATTCATTAAAAATAACATAAAAACGTATTTTTGGCAAGTTTTTTAAAAATGTACTAAATCTATTACATTTTTCAAAAAGAAAATGTTTGGCAATTTCATTAAAAATAACATAAAAACGTAGTTTTGGCAAGTTTTAAAAGTAATGTACTTTTATTTTTTTTATACAAGTAATTTGTTTTATATTTATTTATCTAAAATGTTGGTATTTTGATGATCCAGATCCCGTTTTTCGAAACTGTTAATGATAGTATCTATGTCAGTTACAGAATACATTTTTCTGTCATATGCCAATAAACCAGCCGGTTGTATAGTTTCATTTAGCGATTCAAGGTTATTGCTCGTCTCTCCAATTTGAGACTTTTCGACCAAAAAGTGACGATACTCAGGTGATATTGATTCCAAATAAAGTATGCGATCTTCTATGGCTTTTATACGTTGATATATATTTTTGACATTAGATTGTGGCACGTTAATGTGTTCTTCAATGTTTTCTAATCTCTCTATGATAGTTGGATATTTTAACATCATATGTTCTTCTTTTATTGAACGATGTGATGAGCACTGCTTTTGTAATTCTAACTTTTTTCTTTCAATGGGAACCATAAGCTTATCAAGTGCATTTAAATAGTCGGGGCGCATTTGCGGTCCAATATTATTCTCCACTTTTTTTACTTTCAAATGACATTTGGAATATTCCTGCTTAACAACGGTACTATTTACTCTTGCACAAGTCATTGAATTATTGTCGTTTTCATAATTTATTAGCTCTTGAGGGGAATTAACTTGTTTTTGTTGTTTGACATCGGTAAAATCCATAATATTACACAGATCGATTTCATCGCGTTTCTTTTCGACAAAACATTGGATACGTCTTTTAATTTCATTTTCACAAGCAGAAATTTGTATCAACTGACTCGGTAATGGATTAGAATCTTCAACGCTGCACATTCTTTCATCGAAAGTACTTAAATTATCACTGCCACCAAATTGATATTCGTTATTCTCTTTCCAAGTGGATTCATTTTCATCGTATAATTCTTTCTTCCAGATCGGCACACGCTTCTTAAGTTCATCTATTGCAACCTCGACTGCGTCCAATGATGTTTTACGATGTGGTGAAGAAATAGCAATGACGACACTGACCTCTCGAACTTTTACTAAACCCAAACGGTGGCATATTGCGATGTTTACTATGTCTGGCCACTGACGCCTAAGTTCCTCACAAATAAGTTCAATTTGTTTAATGGCCATTGCTTCGTAGGCTTCATACTCTACTGAACACACCCTTTTTCCCTCAAAACAATCTCGGGTCGTACCGACAAATAATGATATTGCTCCACAAGATTCAGCGGTAACGGTGTTGCTAATTTCGCCAACATTTAAAATATCGCGGGTAAGTATCAAATGATTCATTATATCCCGTTTTATCACAATCCCACAATTTTTTACTTATGAATAGGTATTATCCACCACTTATATATGGGTGGTATGATAGCAATTTCGTCACCTTCGCTTAATTGGACTCCTGAATGCAAATCGTTGTAGTAGGTTACCTTGATAGCTAGAATTAAACTTTTTCTAATCACTTCTAAGTTAAAGATCGGATGCAACAATTTTTGGAGAATTTAATTCGGACTAAGACAGTTCACGTGTTTTAGCAAAAAAAGTACATACTCGAACATTCACGGCTGTTGAGTGAACCTTCTAAATATTCTGACGATGATAACTCATATTTACAAAAAATTTAACCGACCTTGCTCAGTGCCCCGTTTCAGTAATTCTCGCATCGAGAAAATTTGTCGAAAAATTCATGATCATCTTGTGTAAAACAGGGTGAATACATGAAATTTTAATATTTCTTATTAAATGTTGAGTACAGTTTAAAAATAATCAGAGTCACACTGTTAAAAACTGGAAGACTATTATATTTTAAGTTTTTTCACGATTCGAGAAAAATACGGAAACGAGGTACACATGTAAAACTTAAAATCTACTACTATTTCAAAAAAATATATATTTTTATCATTTAGGCAGAAAATTCTATTAAAAACTAACATTATATTAACAAATTTAGCTAATTTCAACAAAAAGCACTAAATATACTACTTTTTTAAAAAAAATCCTACCTTTGCTTTGCATCCCCAATGCCTTGACAATACGATTCTTCTACTAAATTCACAATTTAACGGTTTGTCAAACTAAATGTTGAATTTCTCTTTAACCACCTCGTTCTACTAAACACAGCCTGTTTCACCTACAATTATTTCCCCAAACAACAACAGCTGTTTGTCAAACTGTAGTTTTTTTCTCATCTTGTGCTTCTTCTTGTTCGTAACCATTTTTCTTAAAATATTTGTCATGCACGACCACCCTGTCTCGCCTTTCGCATATTTTTGCGGTCGGTGTGCTTTTTTTCTTTCAAGTCTGCAAAAATATTCATAATTCTACATAATATAGCGCTAAACAAATTATAAAAACTCTCCGCCGACTAACTTTAGCCTAAGATAATGTCAAGTTCTATGAAGATTTCACATTTTCTTTACTGTTAAAGGAGAAAAAGTGCAGCAACGAAAACTGAGAAAAAATTTTCACAAAGAATCCACCAACCAACCAATAATACGACGACGACGATACCACAAGTTAGCACACAGCTACAGTAACAACACAACACTAGGCGAGAGGTAAGTAATTTTTAACAAAATAAAAACGACTGACGGCTAAAATGTCAAAATGTTCATGTTTGACACATGCTTTTTTAAACGGGTGTGTTGAATTGTAAAAAGAGTAAACAAAACAAAAAAAGTGTTTATTTTGAGTGGTGGGAAAGTTTTGTTTAGCAACATGTGTGGTGGGTTTACTTTTAACACAGAGAAAAAGAGAGAGAAAGTTACCAGATGTTGTGATTTGGGAAAAATGTTAAGTTTTTAGGCTACAGCAGCATGTTGCTGTTTGTATTGTTTAATTAATGTAAACAAAAGCGTAGGATTTTTGTTTAAATTGGGAAAGTAACGGAATATTCTAATTTTTTTTAATTTATAACAGTAGTGGAAATACTACTGTTATTTTAAGCAAAGTTACTTAAAAACATTTTTTTGGACTACTTTCTAGTCAGTAATTAAGTTTAGTCATAGTCCACTCTATTGTCCAGTCTATTGTCTAATCTATAGTTTTGTCTATAGTCTTTTCTATAGTCAAGTCTATAGTCTAGTCTATAGTCTAGTCTATAGTCTAGTCTATAGTCTAGTCTAAAGTCTAGTCTAGTCTATAGTCTATTCTATAGTCTAGTCTATAGTCTAGTCTAAAGTCTAGTCTAGTCTAGTCTAGTCTATAGTCTAGTCTATAGTCTAGTCTAGTCTATAGTCTAGTCTATAGTCTAGTCTATAGTCTAGTCTATAGTCTAGTCTATAGTCTAGTCTATAGTCTAGTCTATAGTCTAGTCTATAGTCTAGTCTATAGTCTAGTCTATAGTCTAGTCTATAGTCTAGTCTATAGTCTAGTCTATAGTCTAGTCTATAGTCTAGTCTATAGTCTAGTCTATAGTCTAGTCTATAGTCTAGTCTATAGTCTAGTCCATAGTCTAGTCTATAGTCTAGTCTATAGTCTAGTCTATAGTCTAGTCTATAGTCTAGTCTATAGTCTAGTCTATAGTCTAGTCTATAGTCTAGTCTATAGTCTAGTCTATAGTCTAGTCTATAGTCTAGTCTATAGTCTAGTCTATAGTCTAGTCTATAGTCTAGTCTATAGTCTAGTCTATAGTCTAGTCTATAGTCTAGTCTATAGTCTAGTCTATAGTCTAGTCTATAGTCTAGTCTATAGTCTAGTCTATAGTCTAGTCTATAGTCTAGTCTATAGTCTAGTCTATAGTCTAGTCTATAGTCTAGTCTATAGTCTAGTCTATAGTCTAGTCTATAGTCTAGTCTATAGTCTAGTCTATAGTCTAGTCTATAGTCTAGTCTATAGTCTAGTCTATAGTCTAGTCTATAGTCTAGTCTATAGTCTAGTCTATAGTCTAGTCTATAGTCTAGTCTATAGTCTAGTCTATAGTCTAGTCTATAGTCTAGTCTATAGTCTAGTCTATAGTCTAGTCTATAGTCTAGTCTATAGTCTAGTCTATAGTCTAGTCTATAGTCTAGTCTATAGTCTAGTCTATAGTCTAGTCTATAGTCTAGTCTATAGTCTAGTCTATAGTCTAGTCTATAGTCTAGTCTATAGTCTAGTCTATAGTCTAGTCTATAGTCTAGTCTATAGTCTAGTCTATAGTCTAGTCTATAGTCTAGTCTAGTCTAGTCTAGTCTATAGTCTAGTCTAGTCTATAGTCTATAGTCTATAGTCTAGTCTAGTCTATAGTCTAGTCTAGTCTATAGTCTAGTCTAGTCTATAGTCTAGTCTAGACTATAGTCTAGTCTATAGTCTAGTCTATAGTCTAGTCTATAGTCTAGTCAATAGTCTAGTCTATAGTCTAGTCTATAGTCTAGTCTATAGTCTAGTCTATAGTCTAGTCTATAGTCTAGTCTATAGTCTAGTCTATAGTCTAGTCTATAGTCTAGTCTATAGTCTAGTCTATAGTCTAGTCTATAGTATAGTCTATAGTCTAGTCTATAGTCTAGTTTGTAGTCTAGTTTATGGTCTATTTTATAGTTTAGGTTATAGTCTATTCTATTGTCTAGTGCATAACATAGTCTATTGTCTAGTCCATAGTCTAGTCTATAGACCAGTCTATTATCTAGTCTATTGTACAGTCTTCTCTATAGTATACTCTATAGTCTAGTCTGTATTCTAGTCTATAGTCTAATCTACTAAATTTACATAAAGTACCAAAAAGACTACATTTTTAATTAAATTTTTATCTAATTTTCTTACAGTCCCTACTTTTTCCTTGCTAAATTTCCCATTACCCTCCACACACTATGTCTTCTACACCCGCCTCCTCCACCTCGAGTGGCGAAGTTAAATATGTCACCGAAGTGCCTAGTAGTCTCAAACAATTGGCCCGCTTAGTAGTGCGTGGCTTTTACAGCATCGAGGATGCCTTAATCATCGATATGCTGGTGCGTAATCCCTGTATGAAAGAAGATGATATCGCCGAATTATTACGCTTCGAAAAGAAACAAATGCGTGCTCGAATATCCACCTTGCGTAATGATAAATTTATACAGATACGTTTAAAAATGGAAACCGGACCCGATGGTAAAGCACAAAAAGTCAATTACTATTTCATTAACTATAAAACCTTTGTTAATGTGGTTAAATATAAATTGGATTTAATGCGTAAACGTATGGAAACGGAGGAAAGAGATGCTACGAGTCGGGCTAGTTTTAAGTGTAGCAATTGTAATAAGACATTTACGGATTTGGAGGCGGATCAATTGTTTGATTTTGCTACGCAAGAGTTTCGTTGTACCTATTGTGGCAGTACCGTGGAAGAGGATAGTTCGGCTATACCGAAAAAAGACTCGCGTTTAATGTTGGCCCGTTTCAATGAACAGCTGCAGCCTTTATATGATTTACTAAGAGAGGTAGAGGGTATTAAGTTGGCGCCAGAGATCTTGGAACCTGAACCAGTTGATATTGATACCATAAGAGGGTATTTTTTTGCTAAATGTAAAGTTTTAAGAAATTTTCTTAATTTTTTGTGTATTTTCTTTTTAAAATTTAGTCTAAACAAGCCGGCCAACCAAAGAGGCGAAGGACAAATGTGGTCGGGTGAGGCCACGCGTAATCAAGGTTTCGCCGTAGAGGAAACACGTGTAGACATCAATATAGGAGGCGATGATATGCCCGAAACCGTGGCTGAACGTAAGGCCCGACCTATATGGATGACAGAGAGTACAGTTATTACCGAAGATAATGGTGATAATACCGATGCCATTCTAAATGAGGCTGCACAAAATTCCCAACAATTAGGTGGTTTGACGGGTTCGGCAACTACCTCGTCTTCGAATAGCCAGCGCAGAAAAGAACAAGAAGATATTATGGCTGTTTTGCTGCAGCATGAAAAGCAACCGGGTCAAAAAGAGAATCACATGAAAGGTCTCAAATCCAATGCAAATTCCAGTGATTCAAGTGATGATGAGAATGATATAGAAAATGCCAAAATACGTAAGTTTTCTTACGGTTAATTGCATTATTCTTATGAAATTTTCCAATTTTCTTTATTTTTCCTTTTAGCCAAAACCGATTATAATAATTTCATAAATTCCGAATCTGAGGAAGAGGCTGACGATGATGTTCCTTCCGTTTTAGTGGCCGGCCGTCCTCATCCCCTTGATCAAATCAATGATGAACTAATTGCCCAAATGTCGCAACAGGAAAAGGAAAACTATATCCATGTCTATCAGCAACACTATAGTCATATATATGATTAAATAAACTTTTTTTTTATTTATTTTTCTATTTTCAATTTTCACTAGTTAATTATGTGTAAACAATTGTATGTTTTCTTTCAACAAAAAAAAAATCGCCAACAATTTAAAAAAAGTCTTTCCTGTATTTCTTTTATATTAAAAAAACAAAACGAAAAAAGAAAACAAAACTAAATAAAAAATCAATACAATTTTTTCAAAGAAAAATCTTAATTTTTTATTAAAATAAGAAATTTTTTAAAGAAAAAGTTGAAAATGTCTACAAATAATAGTAAAAAGGTAAGTTTAAGCTGAAAGTTTAGCTTTAATCCCCTTTTCACGCCCCTCGCCTGCTTGCCTAGACTTTAGTTTACAAGTTAAACTTCAAAACCTTTAGATTTTCAAAAGAAAAGGATTAATTTTTTGTTAAAATGCTGAATATTTTAGAATTTTCTCTCCCACCTTACAAAATTTTTAGGAAAGAGTTTTAGTAGCAGCTAAACAAGAAAATTTATAAATTTTATAAAATTTTTAATGTTTGAGTAGTTCTTTTCCCTTATAGCCCCCACCACAAGCTACCTCTATGTTTTACTATGTATATAAACATTTTCCAGCTTTAGCAACCTGTTTTTAAACTAAATTTACTTTAAATTTATAAATAAATTATTGAATATCGTGTTGAAATTTATGTTATTTTAAAAAATTACTAATATTTAATTAATTTTGTTTAATATGTTTTATGTTTATTTACCTTTAAAGTCGCTGTTTACCATTTGCTGTTTGTTATTAAACATTACTCTGCATGTTTAGACACGTTTGTTTCCTTCCTTTTTCTGTTAGTTTCTTTAGCACTTTTTATTGAAAACGTTATTAAAAATCTTTATTTTTAAATAATTTATGTAAAAAATATTAATATTTTGTTATTTTTGTTTAAATTTCAAACAATTTTCATTAATTTTTTAACACTCTTAACTTTTGTAGGTAGCTTTTAAACTTTTTATATTTTATTAAGTTATTTTATTAAAATTTAATAAACATTATTGTTCTATGTTATAATTAATAATATTTTATTATTTTTATATAAATTTTATGCCATTTTCTTTAATTTTTTAAATTTATTTACATTTTCTTTGCTTTTGTTTAGTTTTTTTGCCGGCCACTGTTAAACTTTACATTGTCTGTTTATAAACATTAAACGCTGTTAATTTCTTTGTAGTTTTTAATAACATTTTTATTAAAATTAAGTTAAAAATTAACTTATTTGTTTATTTTTATTAAAATTATTCATATTTTATTATTTCTGTTTTAACTTTATACATTTTTCTTTCATATTTTACATTTCTTTAACTTCGCTTAGCTGCTGTCAAACTTTTCTATGTCTCTTTTGTAAACACTTTTCTTTTTATTCTGTTAAGTATTTTTTTAATGAAGCTAAAAATTATTAAATATTTTTGTTACATTTTAATATTTATTTATTTTGTTATAAATTTTTAATCGTTTTCTTAATTTTTTTAACACTTTTCAAAGTTTGTTTATTCATTTGTTCTCCGCTGTTAAGCAGGCCTTTGGCTGTTTGCAAACATTTGCTTCTTCTTGTTACTTTTAAGTTTACAAAGTATTTTTTAACATAAAACTAAAATTTATTCATTATTTTTATTATTTTTTAATAAATATTAATAATATTGCTCTATTTTGTTTTCAATTTTCAACATTTTTCTTTATTTTTTAACACTTTTCAAAGTTTGTTTACCTTTTTGTTGGCCGCTGTTAAACACTTGCTTCTTTTTGTTATTTTTAAGTTTATAAAGGATGTGTTTACTAAACATTTATAATTTTTACTATTATTAACTATTAAACTTTATTATTTTCTTATTTTTGTTTAAATTTAATATCATTATATTGATTTTTTACTACACCTTTAAACTTTTGATTACCTTTTACTGGTTGCTGTTAATATTGTTTGGTTTGTATGTAAACATATGCTTCTTCTTGTTACTCTTAATTGTTTAAAGAATTTTTTTATTTTTTTTTACCAAAAAATTGATAATTTTTATTATTATTATGTATAAATTTAGTTATTTTTAAAGTTTTCTTTGATTTTTTACTATCTGCTGCAGTTTTTGTTGCATTCTGTTTTGCTTTGTTGCGGTCTGCTTCGTTTTGTTTGCTTTTATGGCGCTTTATAAACTGATGCTTCTTCTTGTTAATTTTAATTGCAACAAGAATTTGTTTATTAAAAACCAAAAAATTATTAATTTTTAAATAAATTTTATGAATTTAACACTTTTGTTTAAATTTTTTAACACTTTTGTTTATTTTTCATTAACTTTTGCTTTATTATTTAGCTTTCACATGTTGCTGTTATATTTCTCTTTGTATATGTTAATACTAGCTGCTTCTTGTTTATTTTAACAAAGAATTTATTAAAAAACTGAAGATTTATGCTTTTTATAGTTAAATAACTTGTAAATTTAATAATTTTTGTTATAATTTTACTATTATTTGGCAGTATACATTGTTGTGTTCACCTTTTGTCTGTTAAGCTAAAAATTAGCTTGTTGCTGGTATTTTGGCGGTCTTTAATTTCTGGCATCTCTTGTTGTACCTCTAATAAAGTTCTCTTTCTCTCTCAAGTGTTATTTTATTCTATGGTGAATTTCCTCTTGCACTGACTTGTCAAAAGCAAAATCATTCAGTTGTTTTTTATTGAGAAGACTTATTAAACGTAAACCTTTTTTTATAACTAATTTATTGTACAAAAAAAAAAATAAAATAAAATGTGTTTTACTTAAAAAATAATATAAAAAAGTAAATTTTATTTAATAACATTTAAAAAAAATATGAAAAATATTATTAATTAACCAAAAAAGCCGCAAAAACAAAAGCTTGCTTATGCATTAGTGAGTAAAAATGGAAAAAAGAAAAACAACAACTATCAGCGCAGCACATTTCTAAGAATAATTACGCCAGAAACATGTTTTTAGCAATTAAATAATTAAAATGAAATTATTATAACAAAAAACACATACAATTTTTAAGAAAAGTAAAATATTTTTTAACTCTGCCTTAAATTTTTAAGCTTTTTTTGTTCTTTATCAAGTGTTTGTGTATATAGTTTTTCTTGTTGTGGCATGTTGAAAATCGTAATCACTAAACATCATCATTATTATTATTGTTGTTGTTGTTGTAGTAGTTTTACATGCCGTCGTCAAAATTGACCCCGTAATTATTATTTAGTTGGAAAAAAAGTGCAAAATTATTTAAATTTTTTTGTTGTTGCTTAGTTTTTTTGTAATTATAACGCTGCTCCAGCTCTGCTGCTGCTTTTTCACAGCAGATGTCAATATTTACATTTTTACTCGCCTAATAACGGTATTTATTAAATAATTTCCTCTAAGCAAAAACAAAAAAATTTGTAAACACAGCAGAATTCTAAAGGAAAACAATAACATTTAAAAATACCAACACAAAACCCTATAAGACTTAAAAATGAGACCAAAAATCGACAAGGATTTACTGCCTATGAAGGCTCATTATTTTTTATTTAATGCTGGTAAGTGTTTTTTTAATAAATTATAAATTTTTATAGATTTTTTTTAATCATTAAGGCAAAGTCTATTTTCTAATAAAAACAAAAACAACAAGTGTTTAACAGATTAGGGAAGTATTGGGTACCTTCTTTCAGTGTAAACGTACCTTTTTAAAACTTTCAATATTTTTAAATTAATAGCAAATTATTAAATTTAAAAAAGTTTAAGCGGAATCATAAAGTTTGTTAAAAACTATCAAAATTATTTAATAGCTCTTAAAAGTAACATTTATTTGCTTCCTTCTTTTGATACCAATTTCACCATTTATTTTTCTATTATTAAAGATAACCCAACAAGTTACTAACTATAACCCACTTTATCTTTAATAACTTTTAACTAAATTATTTTTTTTTTTATATATTCTCTCCATATTTTTATTGTTTTCATTTATTTTGTTGTTGTTTTTTAATTGCATTTATAAATTTGAAAGCAAAACTAGAAAAAACTTTTAGAACTTGATAACGACAGTGGCGTTATTTTCAAAACACTTTAAATTTTTCAATAATGTGGGTGGTTTATGCCTCATCAAATTATGAATATTTATAAATAGAGTAAATTCTTAGCATAGTTTTCTATTTACTTGTTAAAAATATATAAAATCTTTTTTAAAAGTTTATCTTTTTAATAACAGATTATGTTTTTTAAAAGAATAAGCTAATCTTATCTTAGAATAATAAAAATAAAACCATAAATTTTTAAAACAATTAAAAATTCTATTAAAACAAGGAAATTTTCCAAAAACCTATTTCATTTTCACTTATAAATAAGCAAAAATTTATGTAAAACTAGAACTGAACTAGAACTGAACAAAATTTTAACTAGATTTGAACTAGAACTGAACTAGAACTGAACTAGAACTGAACTAGAACTGAGCTAGAACTGAGCTAGAACTGAACTAGAACTGAACTAGAACAGAACTAGAACTGAACTAGAACTGAACTAGAACTGAACTAGAACTGAACTAGAACTGAACTAGAACTGAACTAGAACTGAACTAGAACTGAACTAGAACTGAACTGGAACTGAACTAGAACTGAACTAGAACTTGAACTGAACTAGAACTAAACTAGAACTGAACTGAACTAGAACTGAACTAGAACTGAACTAGAACTGAACTAGAACTGAACTAGAACTGAACTAGAACTGAACTAGAACTGAACTAGAACTGAACTAGAACTGAACTAGAACTGAACTAGAACTGAACTAGAACTGAACTAGAACTGAACTAGAACTGAACTAGAACTGAACTACAACTGAACTACAACTGAACTAGAACTGAACTACAACTGAACTACAACTGAACTAGAACTGAAATAGAACTGAACTAGAACTGAACTAGAACTAACTAGAACTGAACTAGAACTGAACTAGAACTGAACTGAACTAGAACTGAACTAGAACTGAACTAGAACTGAACTAGAACTGAACTAGAACTGAACTAGAACTGAACTAGAACTGAACTAGAACTGAACTAGAACTGAACTAGAACTGAACTATAACAGAACTAGAACTGAACTGGAACTGAACTAGAACTGAACTAGAACTGAACTAGAACTGAACTAGAACTGAACTAGAACTGAACTGGAACTGAACTAGAACTGAACTAGAACTAAACTAGAACTGAACTGAACTAGAACTGAACTAGAACTAGAACTGAACTAGAACTGAACTAGAACTGAACTAGAACTGAACTAGAACTGAACTAGAACTGAACTAGAACTAGAACTAGAACTAGAACTAGAACTGAACTAGAAACTGAACTAGAACTGAACTAGAACTGAACTAGAACTGAACTAGAACTGAACTAGAACTGAACTAGAACTGAACTAGAACTGAACTAGAACTGAACTAGAACTGAACTAGAACTGAACTAGAAATGAAATAGAACTAAACTAGAACTGAACTAGAACTGAACTAGAACTGAACTAGAACTGAACTAGAACTGAACTAGAACTGAACAAGAACTGAACTAGAACTGAACTAGAACTGAACTAGAACTGAACTAGAACTGAACTAGAACTGAACTAGAACTGAACTAGAACTGAACTAGAACTGAAATAGAACTGAACTAGAACTGAACTAGATTTGAACTAGAACTGAACTAGATTTTAACTAGATTTGAACTAGAACGGAACTAGAAATGAACTAGAACTGAACTAGAACTGAACTAGAACTGAACTAGAACTGAACTAGAACTGAACTAGAACTGAACTAGAACTGAACTAGAACTGAACTATAACTGAACTAGAACTGAACTAGAACTGAACTAGAACTGAACTAGAACTGAACTAGAAACTGAACTAGAACTGAACTAGAACTGAACTAGAACTGAACTAGAACTGAACTAGTACTGAACTAGAACTGAACTAGAACTAAACTAGAACTGAACTAGAACTGAACTAGAACTGAACTAGAACTGAACTAGAACTGAACTAGAACTGAACTAGAACTAGAACTGAACTAGAACTGAACTAGATTTGAACTGGAACTGAACTAGAACCGAACTAGAACTGAACTAGAACTGAACTAGAACTGAACTAGAACTGAACTAGAACTGAACTAGAACTGAACTAGAACTGAACTAGAACTGAACTAGAACTGATCTAGAACTGAACTAGAACTGAACTAGAACTGAACTAGAACTGAACTAGAACTGAGCTAGAACTGAACTAGAACTGAACTAGAACTGAACTAGAACTGAACTAGAACTGAACTAGAACTGAACTAGAACTGAAGTAGAACTGAACTAGAACTGAACTAGAACTGAACTAGAACTGAACTAGAAACTGAACTAGAACTGAACTAGAAATGAACTAGAACTGAACTAGAACTGAACTAGAACTGAACTAGAACTGAACTAGAACTGAACTAGAACTAGAACTGAACTAGAACTGAACTAGAACTGAATTAGAACAGAACTAGAACTGAACTAGGACTGAACTAGAACTGAACTAGAACTGAACTAGAACTGAACTAGAACTGAACTAGAACTGAACTAGAACTGAACTAGAACTAACTTGAACTGAACTAGAACTGAACTAGAACTGAACAAGAACTGAACTAGAACTGAACTAGAACTGAACTAGAACTGAAATAGAACTGAACTAGAACTGAACTAGAACTGAACTAGAACTGAACTAGAACTGAACTAGAAGTGAACTAGAACTGAACTAGAACTGAATTAGAACTGAACCAGAACTGAACTAGAACTGAACTAGAACTGAACTAGAACTGTACTAGAACTGAACCAGAACTGAACTAGAACTGAACTAGAATTGAACTAGAACTGAAATAGAACTGAACTAGAACCGAACTAGAACTAACTTGAACTGAACTAGAACTGACCTTGAATTGAAGTAGAACTGAACTAATACTGAATACAATTGAACATAAAGTGTTTATTTAGGATAGTATTCTATTAAAAATGTTTTTGTCTTTAAAGTTTTCTATACCAAATTGTTTTTTGTAGAATTATTTATAGAAAATTTTGCTTTTTAATCAGTTTTTATTTTTTTGCTCTGTTTTCCCCAGAGTATCTTATCATTTAGCAGTATGGCATTAAATTGCAAGTCTTTAAGCTTATAAAATAAAATTATTAAAATTATCATTAACCTTTTAATAATTAAACTGACATATTTATGCATGTTCTTTTTTATTAATTGTATTAAAAGGTTTTTTTGTGCATTGAACTAAATTATACTCTTAAACAATTATTCAAATGATTATTTTTATAACAATTTATAAGCAAATATTATTAAACATAAATATTTGAATAAATAGTTATTTATTTACACTTTTTATTCTATTTCTTAACTAAAAGTCACATGTCTTAAAAACTCAAGTTTAATTATTGTTTACTTTAAAAACGCTTAAGTAAATATTAGCTTTCTATGAATTTATGGCAAACAAATTGTTGCTTTACTAAATGTTTATTATTTATAATTGGGCCATATATTTGATTTAATGGACCATGTCAAGTTACACCTCAATAACAGGTGTTAAAATTTGAAATTTATATTGAAAGAGCAGCATATTTTTTAAGATGATTGATTTGTTTTCCTGTTTTTAATAAAGCTGTCTTCTTCTATGACTCATAGATTATTTTTATTTAATTAAAAAGTGTAAAATTTGAATAGTTTTTAACAAATATTTAAATAACATTTTTTAAGTTTTTTTTTTTAAGCTCTTGCTGACATTTTCTTTAATTAACATGATTTCTTCTGCTTGATTGTTTTATTACTTCCCTTTTTTTACTTTAACTGTCACAAAGCATTTTGTATATTTAAATAAATGTTTAATTTAAATGATAACAAAACTAGAAATCTCTCTCTCTGTATAATGAAATTGAATATTTGCTTTTATGAGATTTTGTTATGGTTTCTATTTGCCTCCTTGTAATCTATTATTTGTTTTAGAGGTTTTAGTTTAATAATAACGAATTATTTTATTTACTTGTCTTTTTCATTATTTATAATTGTTATTTTAGTAATTGCTATCTAGTAAATGTTTTATTTTATTTATTTTTAGGTACTGCACCTGTTGTACCATTTATGCCAACATTGGCTAAACAATTAGGCTATTCCAGTGTGGTGGTGGGCACAATGTATACAATATTGCCTATAATAGGCATGTTAGCAAAACCAATATTTGGTTTTATAGCAGATCGGTAAGTAAAGGAAAAAGAAATGAACTAGAACTAAAAAAGGACCGAATTAGAAATGAACTGGAAATGAAATGAACTAGAACTGAACTCGAACTGAACTAGAACTGAACTAGAACTGAACTAACTGACTAGAACTGAACTAGAACTGAACTAGAACTGAAACTAGAACTGAACTAGAACTGAACTAGAACTGAACTAGAACTGAACTAGAACTGAACTAGAACTGAACTAGAACTGAACTAGAACTGAACTAGAACTGAACTAGAACTGAACTAGAACTGAACTAGAACTGAACTAGAACTGAACTAGAACTGAACTAGAACTGAACTAGAACTGAACTAGAACTGAACTAGAACTGAACTAGAACTGAACTAGAACTGAACTAGAACTGAACTAGAACTGAACTAGAACTGAACTAGAACTGAACTAGAACTGAACTAGAACTGAACTAGAACTGAACTAGAACTGAACTAGAACTGAACTAGAACTGAACTAGAACTGAACTAGAACTGACTAGCTAGAACTGAACTAGAACTGAACTAGAACTGAACTAGAACTGAACTAGAACTGAACTAGAACTGAACTAGAACTAAACGAACTGAACTAGAACTGAACTAGAAGAAGAACTAGAACTAGAACTGAACTAGAACTGAACTAGAACTGAACTGAACTAGAAACTAGAACTGAACTAGAACTGAACTAGAACTGAACTAGAACTGAACTAGAACTGAACTAGAACTGAACTAGAACTGAACTAGAACTGAACTAGAACTGAACTAGAACTGACTAGAACTGAACTAAACTGAACTAGAACTAGAACTGGAACTAGAACTGAACTAGACTGAACTAGAACTGAACTAGACTGACTAGAACTGAACTAGAACTGAACTAGACTGAACTAGAACTGAACTAGAACTGAACTAGAAAACTGAACTAGAACTGAACTAGAACTGAACTAGAACTGAACTAGAACTGAACTAGAACTGAACTAAACGACTAGAACTGAACTAGAACTGACTAGACTTAACTAGAACTGAATATAACTGAACTAGAAACTAACTAGAACTGAACTAGAACTGAACTAGACTAGAACTGAACTAGAACTGAACTAGAACTGAACTAGAACTGACTAACTGAAACTAGAACTGAACTAGAATAACTGACTAGAACTGAACTAGAACACTAGAACTAGAACTGACTAGAACTGAACTAGAACTGAACTAAACTGACTAGAACTGAACTAGAACTGAAACTAGAACTGAAACTAGAACTGAACTAGAACTGAACTAGAACTGAACTAGAACTGACTAGAACTGAACTAGACTGAACTAGACTGAACTAGAACTGAAACTAGAACTGAACTAGAACTGAACTAGAACTGAACTAGAACTGAACTAGAACTGAACTAGAACTGAACTAGAACTGAACTAGAACTGAACTAGAACTGAACTAGAACTGAACTAGAACTGAACTAGAACTGAACTAGAACTGAACTAGAACTGAACTAGAACTGAACTAGAACTGAACTAAACTGAACTAGAACTGAACTAGAACTGAACTAGAACTGAACTAGAACTGAACTAGAACTGAACTAGAACTGAACTAGAACTGAACTAGAACTGAACTAGAACTGAACTAGAACTGAACTGAACTAGAACTGAACTAGAACTGAACTAGAACTAGAACTGAACTAGAACTGAACTAGAACTGAACTAGAACTGAACTAGAACTGAACTAGAACTGAACTAGAACTGAATTAGAACTGAACTAGAACTGAACTAGAACTGAACTAGAACTGAACTAGAACTGAACTAGAACTGAACTAGAACTGAACTAGAACTGAACTAAACTGAACTAGAACTGAACTAGAACTGAACTAGAACTGAACTAGAACTGAACTGAACTAGAACTGAACTAGAACTGAACTAGAACTGAACTAGAACTGAACTAGAACTGAACTAGAACTGAACTAGAACTGAACTAGAACTGAACTAGAAAGAACTGAACTAAACTGAACTAGAACTGAACTAGAACTGAACTAGAACTGAACTAGAACTGAACTAGAACTGAACTAGAACTGAACTAGAACTGAACTAGAACTGAACTGAACTGAACTGAACTAGAACTGAACTAGAACTGAACTAGAACTAGAACTGAACTAGAACTGAACTAGAACTGAACTAGAACTGAACTAGAACTGAACTAGAACTGAACTAGAACTGAACTAGAACTGAACTAGAACTGAACTAGAACTGAACTAGAACTGAACTAGAACTGAACTAGAAACTGAACTAGAACTGAACTAGAACTGAACTAGAACTGAACTAGAACTGAACTAGAACTGAACTAGAACTTAGAAAATGAAACATAGAACTGAACTAGAACTGAACTATGAACTGACTAGAATGAACTAGAACTGAACCAGAACTGAACTAGAACTGAACTAAGAACTGAACTAGAACTGTAACTAGAATTAAACTAGAACTGAACTAGAACTAAAACTAGAACTGAACTAGAATTGAATAGAACTGAACTATTTCTGAATTGGAAACTGATTGAAAAATCTAGACAAAAAAACTTCTTGCTAGAAAACTATGTATACAGTCAAGATTTTCTTATGCAAATTATCTCTCTCTCTCTCTCTCTCTCTCTATTTTTCTCTTTTCTAGTTATCAACGTCATCGCATGTTATTTATTATCTCCGAAATTTTAACCGCCATTGCCTTTTTTCTCATCATGTTTACACCCGCCATACCCAAAGAGCCTATAGCTGTAGAATTCCACTGTCATGCCGGTGTAACCGATCTACGTTACTGCTCCGAATTTGATAAATGTATGAATAATGAATTACAAGAACATTATGCCAATCAAACGCTCAACTGCAAACTCCACTGTCAAGCTAAACCTTTTATGTGGGATATAATATGTGAAAATTGGTTAAATAATACAGATTGTACACCAAATACCACCACAACTATGGACATAACCACCTATGTTGATATGGGTCAAATGGAGGTGGAAAATTCCTGTATGTTTTTTATGATACCACATCTCAAAGGATCAATAAATGATAAAAATGTTACTATGTTTTGTCCGAGTAATAAGGAATATTTTAATGCTTCCTGTAGTTTAGATTGTAAAGATGAATATCTTGACAGTAAATTGGGTTTAAGTCCGGTTATTAATAATAAAGCGGCTATGGGTTTATACCAATTCTGGTGGTTCTTTGCTATGTTGATAATATCATGGATCGGCATGGCGGCGGTGGTTAGTATAGGTGATGCTATTTGTTTTGGCATTTTGGGAGAGCGTGCTCATTTGTATGGTAAACAGCGTTTATATGGTTCTGTGGGTTGGGGTATATTTTCCATAATTGCGGGCGTTTTAGTGGATAAAATGTCTAAGGGTGTAGATAAGGATTATACTATAGTATTCTGGATGACTTTGGTGATAATTGCTTTGGATGTGGTGGCTTCCATGAAGTTAAGGGTGAGTTTGAAAAAAAAATATACAATTTGAAGTCTAAACTAGACTATAGACTAGACTATAGACTAGACTATAGATTAGACTAGACTATAGATTAGACTAGACTATAGACTAGACTATAGACTAGACTAGACTATAGACTAGACTAGACTATAAACTAGACTATAGAATAGACTATAGACTGGACTATAGACTAGACTATAGACTAGACTATAGACTAGACTATAGACTAGACTATAGACTAGACTATAGACTAGACTATAGACTAGACTATAGACTAGATATAGACTAGACTATAGACTAGACTATAGACTAGACCATAGACTAGACTATAGACTAGACTATAGACTAGACTATAGACTAGACTATAGACTAGACTATAGACTAGACTATAGACTAGACTATAGACTAGACTATAGACTAGACTATAGACTGGACTATAGACTGGACTATAGACTAGACTATAGACTAGACTATAGACTAGACTATAGACTAGACTATAGACTAGACTATAGACTAGACTATAGACTAGATTATAGACTAGACTATAGACTAGACTATAGACTAGACCATAGACTAGACTATAGACTAGACTATAGACTAGACTATAGACTAGACTATAGACTAGACTATAGACTAGACTATAGACTAGACTAGACTATAGACTAGACTAGACTATAGACTAGACGAGACTATAGACTAGACTAGACTAGACTATAGACTAGACTATAGACTAGACTATAGACTAGACTATAGACTAGACTATAGACTAGACTATAGACTAGACTATAGACTAGACTATAGACTAGACTATAGACTAGACTATAGACTAGACTATAGACAAGACTATAGACTAGACTATAGACTAGACTATAGACTAGACTATAGACTAGACTATAGACTAGACTATATACTTGACTACAGACTAGACTATAGACTAGACTACAGACTAGACTATAGACTAGACTATAGACTAGACTATAGACTAGACTATAGACTAGACTATAGACTAGACTATAGACTAGACTGTAGACTAGACTATAGACTAGACTATATAAGGAAACAAATTCTTTTCTCCCTCTAGCACACACAAACTCATCTTTCTCCCAATATCCTAAAAGATGTTGGTCAAATGTTCCTTTCCGTACGTTGTGTCGTCTTCTTTATATGGTGCGTTTTTATAGGACTCGGTACAGCTTTAATATGGAATTTCCTCTTTTGGCATTTAGAAGAATTGGCCGGCTGTGAAGAGACCTCCATGAAAACTCTACAGGGAGCAGTAATGGCCATACAATGTTTTTGTGGTGAGCTACCGTTTTTCTTTTTTTCCGGTTGGATTTTAAAGAAAATTGGTCACGTCAATGCCATGAGTCTGGTGCTATTCGGTTTTGGAGTACGTTTTATATTATACTCTATGCTGCAAGATCCCTGGTATGTTTTACCCATCGAACTAATGAATGGTATAACATTTGGTTTATTCTATGCCACTATGGCTTCATATGCCAGTATAGTGGCACCGCCAGGGACAGAAACTACTATGCAGGTGAGCTTTTTTACTTAAACAGAACTTGTCTTAGAAGAAAGTATTTATAAAATGTTTTCTTTTATGTTTTCAGGGTCTGGTGGGTGCTATTTTCGAAGGTGTGGGCGTATCCATGGGCAGCTTTATAGGCGGTTTACTATTTGAATCGGTGGGCCCTGGCCATACCTTTGAAATCTTTGGTGTTAGTGCCTTTATAGCCTTTATTGTACATGTTTGTTTGCAAATGTATTTGCAACGTCATCACGCTAGTTCAGATAGTGATAATGGTAAGCAAATTCTTCCTGATAGTAATACCAATGAGTCTTTAACTATTAAACCTTTAAATGACAATAATGATCTTAATTATACACAAGATATTTTAAACCCAGACAATGCTCCGGCAGCTAAATTTACACAAGTTGATTTAAATTCTTAAGTTTTTCTTTTAAAGCTTTAGGTTTTGTTTATGTTATTTTTCCGTAATTACCAGAAGTTAGTTTTAAACAAAACTTTAATAAACAGCATATTTTGTTTATTAAGCAATATTTTTTCTCTATTGTATACTTGCCCTTGTACTATTAAGTTTTAAATATGATTAGTTTTTTTTTTAATATTTTATTATTGTTCAAATAAACCTCTTTTTTTGTAAAAAAAAAATAAATATTATACACAAATTTTTTTAAATAGCTCTCAAATAACCATTTTATGACAATGATAAACACTTTCAGTTTTTATCAATTGTAAAGCTAGGAAAACATTGTTGCAATCTTATACTTAATAACAACAACATTCCTATATACATGTCTGCAACGGGCAATGCATTTTGTTATTTGTTAAATAAAGAGATATAAATTTGATTATAGAAGTGAATTTTTGTTGTAGACACAAAGAAAATTGTACAATTTTTTAAATATTCATAAAATGTTAAAAAGAGTTTTACAATAAATTTTGTTATATGAGTGTAATAACCCTAATTTTATCTTAAACAACATGTTGGAAAAGGCTTAAAGAAACACTTCATAGACTGATGTACAGTCCAGACTATAAATTAGACTATAATCTAGATTATAGTTCACACTATAGAACTGAACTAGAACTGAACTAGAACTGAACTAGAACTGAACTAGAACTGAACTAGAACTGAACTAGAACTGAACTAGAACTGAACTAGAACTGAACTAGAACTGAACTAGAACTGAACTAGAACTGAACTAGAACTGAACTAGAACTGAACTAGAACTGAACTAGAACTGAACTAGAACTGAACTAGAACTGAACTGAACTAACTACTAGAACTGAACTAGAACTGAACTAGAACTGAACTAGAACTGAACTAGAACTGAACTAGAACTGAACTAGAACTGAACTAGAACTGAACTAGAACTAGAACTAGAACTGAACTAGAACTAGAACTGAACTAGAACTGAACTAGAACTGAACTAGAACTGAACTAGAACTGAACTAGAACTGAACTAGAACTGAACTAGAACTAAACTAGAACTGAACTAGAACTGAACTAGAACTGAACTAGAACTGAACTAGAACTGAACTGGAACTAGAACTGAACTGGAACTAGAACTGAACTAGAACTGAACTAGAACTGAACTAGAACTGAACTAGAACTGAACTAGAAACTGAACTAGAACTGAACTAGAACTGACTGGAACTAGAACTGAACTGGAACTAGAACTGAACTAGAACTGAACTAGAACTGAACTAGAACTGAACTAGACTGAACTAGAACTGAACTAGAACTGAACTAGAACGAACTGAACTAGAACTGAACTAGAACTGAACTAGAACTGAACTAGAACTGAACTGGAACTGAACTAGAACTGAACTAGAACTGAACTAGAACTGAACTAGAACTGAACTAGAACTGAACTAGAACTGAACTAGAACTGAACTAGAATTGAACTAGAACTGAACTAGAACTGAACTAGAACTGAACTAGAACTGAACTAGAACTGAACTAGAACTGAACTGGAACTGAACTAGAACTGAACTAGAACTGAACTAGAACTAAACTAGAACTGAACTAGAACTGAACTAAAACTGAACTAGAACTGAATTAGAACAGAACTAGAACTGAACTAGAACTGAACTAGAACTGAACTAGAACTGAACTAGAACTGAACTAGAATTGAACTAAAACTGAACTAGAACTGAACTAGAACTGGACTAGAACTGAACTAGAACTGAACTAGAACTGAATTAGAACTGAACAGGAACCTTTAAACAAAAACAGAACAGTTTAAGAGAAAGAGATTTTGAAAATCATTGCTGCAAGTTCACATAATCGGAAAACAACAATACTTCGTCTAATACATCGAAATGTTTATCAGAAATCACGTCAAGTCAAATACTTGTACTTTAACCTCAACAATTCTAAAATTTAAGAATTAGATTTAGACTCGAACATCTTATAGATGGCAACATTGATGAGAAGTCGTCTACAAATAAACGGTATTGTCCTCCTTCCCTTAAAGGTGAATGTTTAACAAATCTTATTTAGATAGAATTTGTGTTCCAATTTCTAATATTAAAACAAATAAATGACGATGAAATTTAAAACTAAAACTGTTATTTCATTTATCATCAGAAAGGGATTTTTAAAACATCCCCCGATAAACTTTAAGTAGATAATAAGTTGATAAGTTGATGATTAAATACATATGTATTTTACTTAAATTTGTTGCATGTTAGTTGTTGGAAATATTTTTAGCTATAATTTCATTTTAAACACAATTGTTTTAATTTTTTTATAATTTAGTAGAATTAACGAAGACTTTTGATTCCATAAAACAAGTTTTCAAAAGTCCTTTCATATTTTCTTTTTTTAAACTTTAACTTTTTATCATTTACTTCTTTAAAAAACTGTTTAGTTAAGACCCTTTTTATTAGTCAAGACTTATTTATATAGAAAACTGTTTAGTGAAGACACTTCTCTTTAGAAAACTGACCAGATAAGGAAATTGTTTTGTTAAGATACTATTATCTAAGAAACTAGTTAGACAAAACACCTTATACATAGAAAATCGTCGAGACCAGTCAACTATCTATAGAAAACTGTACAGATAAGATCGTTTTTTCATACAGAAAACTGTCCAAACTAGTAATCTATTTAGTCAAGACACTTTTCTATAAAAAATTGTTTAGACGAGACACTTAACTATAGAAAAAGGTTCAGGCAGGAGATATTTTAATTGAAAATGGTTTAGTTCAGACACTTTTTAATGGATAACTGTACAGGCAGGAAAAATGTTTAGTCGAGACACTATTCCTTAAGACTCTAGTTGACTAGACAGTTACCTTTTAGTAATAAACTGACTAGATAAGATACGTTTCTATAGAAAATAGTTTAGACAAGACAATTATCTTGAGAAACTGTTTAGTGAAGACACATTTCTATAGAAAACTGTTTAGTCAAGACAACTTTCTGTGGAGAACTAAACAGAAAAGCAAATTTCCTATAGAAAACTGTTAAGTCAAGACAACTTTCTGTAGAGAACTAAGCAGAAAAGCAACTTTCCCATAGAAAACTGTTATGTCAAGACATATAACCATAGAAAACTTGTTATATGAAGACACTTTTCTATAGTAAATGCTCCAAATAAAATATTTTCTATGGGAAACTATTTAGTAAAGACACTTTTTAATAGAAAGCTGTTCAAATAAGGAAACTATTTATTCAAGACACTATTCTTTAAGGCGCTAGTTGGACAGGACAGTTATCTAGCAGATAAAATATGTTTCTAAAGAACTAGACAGTTTTTTAGACAATCTTCTGAAACTGTTTAGTCAAGACACCTTTTCTAAAGAAAATTGTTTAGTCAAGACTCTTTCCTAAAGAAAATTATTTAGTCAAGACACCTTTCCTAAAGAAAATTGTTTAGTCAAGACACTTCTCTAAAGAAAATTGTTTAGTCAAGACACTTTTCTAAAGAAAATTGTTTAGTCAAGACATTATTTAGTCAAGACACCTTTCCTAAAGAAAATTGTTTAGTGAAGATACTTTTCTAAAGAATATTGTTTAGTCAAGATACTTTTCTAAAGAAAATTGTTTAGTCAAGACACTTTTCTAAAGAAAATTGTTTAGTCAAGATACTTTTCTAAAGAAAATTGTTTAGTTAAGACATTTCTCTATAGAAAAAATGTTAGTGGAGACACTTTTCTATAGAAAACTCTTTATATATTTAAAATTTTTATGTTAAATTGTAACTAAACTTAAAGCACGTTTATTTTTCTTAAAATTTACTTAATAATTAATTTAACTAAATGTTTTTTCTTTTTATTTATATTTACTTTTAAAGTAACTAACAATTTTTTTTTTATTAAGTTTTTCTTTAATTTTAATTATTTGTTTTTAATTTTAGGAACCGTTAAATATTTAGCGCCTACTGATGCCATGCATATGCTTAACGATCAAGAATATATAATAACGTAGATGTATGCGTGTGTAAATGTTTGGATGTGGACTGTGTTATTTTAAAAACTTTTTTCTTTTTCATTTTTTAAAATTTTTATTGTGTAGAAGGTATTATTATTATTATTTCCATTTTATTGAGAACAAAAATTAATTGCGGGGATTTAATTGAAATTATTATTAAAACACTAGAAAACAAAAAGCATGTATTTTATATTTATTAATGTTTTTTTAAGTTTTTAAAACAAAATTTTTAAAATTATTGTTTTTAAAAGATTTTAACTAACGAATTTTCAAAATTTTTGCTTAATTAAAAAAACACATAAACAAACTGCATGTATAAACTGGTCATTTTTAAAAAGTATTTTCTTTTTTTATAAAAAAAAAAAAAATTAGTTTAATTTCTTTTTTAAATTTAATTTAATATTTATAAATGTTGTAGTTAATTATTAAGCAGTTGGTTAAAAGAATTTTATACTTTCCATGTAGTTTTTTAAAAAACTTTGTATAATTTTTATATAAAAAAAAGATTTAACTAAAAAACACCAAAGTTTTTATATACATATTTGTTATAAAAAAAGTTTTGCTAAAAAATTATAATAAATTTAAAAATTATACAAAAAATTAATTAATTATTTAAAGAAAATAAAATATATTTGTTATAAGTTTATTATATTAAAAAAAAGTAATGAATAACATTTATACATTTTAGATTTATTTATCTAAATTAAATATTTTTATATGAAAAAAAAAAAACTTTTACTATTGGTTTATTTTACCAATTAAAGATTCTTCCTGCTGCTGTTTTTGTAATTTACGCTGTAATTCTTTTTCTTTGCATGTTTGTATATTTATGGCTCTTTTCTAGAATTTTAGAAAAAAAATTGAATTCTATAGAGTTTTAAAAACAAAGTTTAATAAAAAAAAAACACACAAGTTTTGCTAAAGCATGTTTAAGAAACAATAAAATGTTTAACATTACTACTAAGCAAAGTTCTAAAATAAGCAGTAAGTACTACAAAACACAATTTTTTCCTCAAAACAATTATTTTCCTTAAAGAAATTCTAAAGACAAGACAATTTTCTATAGAAAATGGATAAATTAAACCAGATTAAACAATTTTATAGAGAGATCTTTAGTCAAGACACTTTTCTATAAAAAATTATTTAGTCAAGACACTTTTCTATAAAAAATTATTTAATCAAGACACCTTTCTATAGGAAATTGTTTAGTGAAGACACTTTCTTACCGAAACAGTTCTAACAAGACATTTTCCTAAAGAAAACTTTTTAAACAAGAAATTTTTCCATAGAAAACACTTTAGACAAGACACTTGTTTAGAAAACTATTTAGACAAGAGATTTTTCTTTAGAAAACTTCTCAGCATAGACAATTTTCTATAGAATACTATTAAGACAAGTTACTTTTCAATATAAAACTTTCCAGAGAAGACTTTTATCTATAGAAAACTGCCCAACACTTATATATAGAAAACACTTATATATAGAAAACACTTATATATAGAAAACTATTCACTAAGGACTTTTAGTAAAGACACATCTTTATACAAAACTATTTAGTCGAGACACTTTTCTATAGAAAACTGTTTAAACAAGAAACATTTCTATAGCAAACCCTTCAGTTAATACACTTCCCTAAAGAATATTGTCCACAAAAGGCAACTTTCTAAAGAAAACTAATCAAACTAGACATTTTTCCATAGGGAACTGTTTAGCCAAACACTTCCATATAAAACTGTTTATCTAAGACTCTTTCCTATATAAAACTATAAAGTCAATATATCATTCAATAGAAAACTTTTTAAGGAAAACTTCTTATCTAGAAACTGTCCGTACAAGACACTTCTATAGAGAAAACATTGCTAAACTTTTCTTTTAAAAAGCATTTAGTTCAGACACCCATTTAGTCAAGACACATCTCTATAGAAAACCGTTTAGTTCAGACACTTTTCTATAGAAAACTGTTTAGTTCAGACACTTTTCTATAGAAAACTGTTTGGACAGGACGCATCCTATATAAAACTGCTCTAAAAGATACTTTTCTATATAAAACTACTCAGACAGGAAACTTTTCAAAACATTTCTATATAAAAAACTGTTAACTAGACTTTTCTTTTAATAGGTATTTAGTTCAGACACTTTTTCCTAGAACTTCGTTTAGTCAAGACACATTTTTACAGTAACCGTTTAGTTTAGACACCTTTGCATAGAATACTGTTTAGCCAAGTCCCACTTTTAGAGGAGACTATTTAGTTAAGACATTTTTCTATAGAAAAATGTCCATACAGGACACTTTTCTATAGAAAAATGTCCATACAGGACACTTTTCTATAGAAACTGTACAGACAAGATACTTTTCTATAGAAAACTGTCCAAAAAGATACTTTTTTTATATAACATTGTCCATACAGGAAACTTTTCTATTGAAACTGTACAGACAAGACTGTTTTCTATAGAAAACTATCCAAAGAGGACATTTTTCTATAAAAAACCATCAAAACAAGACACTTTTCTATAGACAAGTCAATATATCTTTCAATAGAAAACCTTTTAAAGAAGACATATTATCTAGAAACTGTCTGAACAAAACACTTCTATAGAGAAAACTGTTTGCTAAACTTTTCTTTTAAAAAGCATTTAGTTCAGACATCCGTTTAGTCAAGACACATCTCTATAGAAAACCGTTTAGTTCAGACACATTTCTATAGAAAACAGTTTAGTCAACACATGTTCATTAGAAAACACATGTCCTATAGAAAACTGCTCTAAAAGATACTTTTCTATATAAAACTACTCAGGCAGGAAACTTTTCAAAGCATTTCTATATAAAAAAATGTTAACTACACTTTTCTTTTAATAGGCATTTAGTTCAGACACTTTTTCCTAGAACTTCGTTTAGTCAAGACACATTTTTACAGTAACCGTTTAGTTTAGACACCTTTCCATAGAAAACTGTTTAGCCAAGACCCACTTTTAGAGGAGACTATTTAGTTAAGACACTTTTCTATAGAAAAATGTCCATACAGGATACTTTTCTATAGAAACTGTACAGACAGGACACTTTTCAAAACATTTCTATATAAAAAAATGTTAACTACACTTTTCTTTTAATAGGCATTTAGTTCAGACACTTTTTGCTAGAACTTCGTTTAGTCAAGACACATTTTTACAGTAACCGTTTAGTTTAGACAACTTTCCATAGAAAACTGTTTAGCCAAGTCCCACTTTTAGAGGAGACTATTTAGTTAAGACACTTTTCCATAGAAAAATGTCCATACAGGACACTTTTCTATAGAAACTGTACAGACAAGATACTTTTCTATAGAAAACTGTCCAAAAAGATACTTATTTATATAACAGACAGTTTTCTATAGAAAACTATCCAAAGAGGACATTTTTCTATAAAAAACCAACAAAACAAGACACTTTTCTATAGATAACTTTCCAAACAGTATACTTTTCTATAGAAAACTAGCAAAACTGGAAATTTTTTTATAGAAACTCGTTTAGTAAAGACACATTTCTTGGAAAACTGTTTAGTTAAGACATTTTTCTATAGAAAATTGTTTTACAAGACAGTTTTCTACAGAGATTGCCAAGACAAGATAATTTTCCATAGAAACAGTTCAGATAAAACACTTTTCTGCTGAAAACGCGACAAGCAAGACACTTTTCTATAGAAAACTTTCCAGACATGACACTTTTCTTTGGAAACTGAGCAGACAAAACACTTTTTTGTAGAAAACTTTCCAGACATGACACTTTTCTATATATAACATTCCAGACAACACACTTTTCTATAGAAAACATTCCAGACAACACACTTTTCTATAGAAAACTAATCGGACAACACACTTTTCTGTAGAAAACTATTCAAACAAGACACTTATATCAAATACTGTCTAGACAAGACACAACTATAGAAAACAGTCCAAACAAGACAATTTTCTATAGAAAACTGTGCAGATATGATACTCTTTGCAAAATTCTGTCCAGACAACAAACTTTTGTATAGTAAACTGTCCAGATAAGACTCGTTTCTATAGACAATTGTCAAAAGAAGTTCTATTTCCCATTCCATATCGCAAAGAAGATTAGTTTCTATAGAACCTAGTCCAGAGAAGTCCCCTTCATATAGACAAATATCTCAAGAAAACCTTTTCCTTTAGTTTTATTCCTTAAATTTTATTCTTAATTAAAAATTTATAACACTTACCTTTAATACTTTCGTACGCTGATAGATATTCTGCATGTGCTTTTTAATTTTTAACAATTTCTCTCTGCACACTTTAACATTAATCATCTGTAAAAGTAATAAAGATTAAATGAGAATACATTGTATTAAAACGTTTTATTGGAAGTAATTAAATCAATAAAAAAAAAACAAATTACACGGTAAATTAAACAATTCTGTTAAAATTTTGATAAGATTTTCATATTTTTGACAATCATTAATTGTTTAAAATTTGTTACAGCAGAAATATTTTTTAATAATATTGTAGTTAATGGGAGGCATATTAAATTGTAGAATGTTATCTTAAATTGTTGGAAATTTGTATGATTTTTCTTATGTTTTTAATAGTTTTTTTAGTGTTTTAAAAATTTTAGATAATTAAGTTTTTAAAATTGATTATTATGTGAAAATAAACGTATTATTAAAAATTTATGATAAAGTTTTATGAGTTCTGTCGGAACTATGAGTTGCTTGTGTTAAGTTGTTAATAAAAAGCACGTTTTTGGAAAGTGATTTAAAATTTATCATCAAAACGAATCCCTGTTAGGCGAAGAAGTAAGATTGATTGAAAACTTTTAGGCAAAACACTTTTCTACAGAAAACTCTTCTTAATAGGAAACATCTATAGAAAACTGGCCAAACTAGACATTTAGATAGAAAACTATAAAGTGTCTTTACTCTTTTCTGTAGAAAACTATTCAGACAAGATACTTTTCTATATAAAACTATGCAGATAAGACTCTTCTATAGAAAACTCTTTAGATAAGGAAATTTTCTATAGAAAACTATTCAGAGAAGACACTTTCTTATAGAAAACAGTTCCGATAAGACTCTTCTACAGAAAACTGTTTAGATAAGGAAATTTCCTATAGAGAACTATTCAGATAAGACATTTTTCTATAGAAAAATTGTTAGACAAGAGATTTTTCAATAGAAAACTGTTCAGACAAGACACTTTTCTATATAAAACTGTTCAGATAAGACTCTTCTATAGAAAACTTTTTAGATAAGTAAATTTCCTATAGAAAACTGTTCAGACAAGACACTTTCTTATAGAAAACTGTTTCGATAAGACTTCTCTATAGAAAAGTGTTCAGATGAGGCACTTTTCTATAGAAAACTGTTCAATGAAGATACTTTTCTTTAGAAAACTGTTCTGACAAGAGATTTTGATATAGAAATCTGTTCAGATAAGACTATCTATAAGAAATCTATTCAGAAAACTATAAAAAGCTTTTCAGACAAGTCACTTTTTTTATAGAAAACTGTTCAAACAAGAAATTTTTCTATAGAAAACAGTTCAGACAAGGCACTTTTCTTGAGAAAACACTTCAAAAGAAACTTTTCTATGAAAACCCGTTCAGACTAGACTTCTAACATTAAAATTTTATAATTTACTTCTAATACTCACCATATCCTGTAATTTGGCAACCTCAGCATTGTCCAGTTTAAACTTTTCCGCCGATAAATCAATATAGATTTTATTTTGTTTTTGTCTACAAGAAAATTCCAATGAAAAGCCATAAATTGTGAAAAAAAAATCATACCCATAACTTACATTAATTCCTTAAGTTGTCCTCTAGCCTTGGCTATGGGAGGTGCATATGATTGCAGCACTCCGGCTGAAAGTTGTAAAGCCGCTAGGGAGGTGGTGGCTTCTGTTTGAGAATTGTCATTATTTGCAATAGCTGCTTTAACATTAGACTGTTTTATATTATTGTTATTTAGTGAGGGTTGGTCTTGTAATATTGTATTTGTTGTTTGTTCCAAGCTGGAACGTCTTAATTGTTCCACATTTTCTGTTGTACTAAATGCTGTTAAATCATCGGCAATACTTTTTAAAGTAGAAACAAATAAGTACTTTTTATTAGTTAAAAGATAATTATTTTACTATATACAAAGTAATACTTTGTTTTTTATCTCTACTTGTTGAGTTGTTAACAATTTAAGAAATTTTTTTTTAATATTTCTTATTATTTTGTTGTTTTAGTATTTACCTCTTAAAATTATTACTTTTCAACATATTTGGTTTATTTTCTTTAATATTTCCTAAGGAATTATGATAAAAAATTAACAAAAATTTTAACTTTAGAAAGTTAATTAACAAAATTTACAAATAAAAACTAGAAAAAATGTAAACAATAAAAAACCATTAACAACACAGCTGTGTTTGACAGTTGAAAATAAAAGCAAAAGAAACTCACCTCTGGCAATGTTTACACAACAAAAAAGTGTAAATACATAAATTTAAACATGTTGTGTTAATGTTAGCAACATGTTTCTTTAAGGTTGAGTTATTTTAGCTCTGTAAATGTTTGTTATTATGTGAGGTAGGAATATACTGGATATTTTGTTACATATTTTAATAATTTTACATGTTTTGTGGCATTTTTTTATTAAAAGGAATTAAAATAATTAATTTAGTATAAAATTATTAAACATGTTTAGATTAGATTTATGCTTTTAGAAGTTTGCTTTGTGGAAATTTTTGTAATTAAAGTTTGCTGTTAAAGTTAATAATATTTTCAATGTTTTTAACATAAACCATGTTGCTAAACATTTTGTTTAGGAGAAAATAAGTGTTATATTCTTTAATTTCTAATAATTTTCGTTATTTTAAATGAATTATGGAAATTTTTTCCAAAATTCTTTAAAATTATTCTTGTTCTTCCATAATTCTTACTGAGATCCGTTTTTCTTTTATATTTTTTTATTATTTCAAATAAAACTTCTTGAATTTTTACATATTTTTTAGAAACTATTTTTATTTATGATTTTTTATAAATTTATTCATATAAAACTATATTTAAAAAAAAGCCATGATAGTTACGAAAAAAACTAAAATTTAACTAAAAAAGTAATTGAAACTAAAAGCCATAATTTAAAAATAAAATTAAGCTTACTTAAATTATAAAGAATTTGTTTAAGTCCCAAGTTTATATATACAACATATACAACAATAAAACTTAAAATAATAAAGTTTTGTAATTTGAGAAATAAGGGAAGTGTTTATAGCTGTCGGCTATTGGTGTTGGTCATCCATTTAGCCCTTTTTAAAGTCCAACAAATCATCAATATCCACCACTTTTGTTATCACTTTACCCTCATCATCCTTTTCCAATTCGGCTCTAGTACAGCGTCCACAACAGTCTGCAGAAGGTTTATTTTCACATTCACCCAAGGCTGGTGGCTTAAAGTTGGGAGTCCAGGGACCTAAACTACCGCTGGCATAAAAGTCCATGGGATAGGAATCTTGTTTGGGGGCAGAATTGTGGGGTGTATATTCAACATCTCCTAAGACGACCGATAACTCATAGGGATTCAGTAAAGGTTTGGCAAAAGCAGAACCCCAGTCAATGGAGAGACGTGGACAGGCGATTTGTACAAAAGCATCTATATTATCGAAGAGTGCCAGTTTTTGGGGAAAGATTTCCGAGAGTAAGATGGTTGTGGAATCGTAGCCCTTGGCTCGTATACGTTTTTCGAGAAATTTGTGTACCCTAGAGCTGCCTTGGCGTCCTAAAGTGCCCAATATAATACCGATTTTTTTGGCTTTCATGGCTTTTTCTATTTCGCCATAACGCATGGACTGCATGGTTGAGTGATCGTATTCCTCAATAGTGAATTTCTTTTCATAGGGATCGTATTTATAGGCCTGGAAAGAGAAAACAAATTAAACATTTAGTTAGAAAACTGTTTTTTTAAAGAAAATTGTCAGTATAACAGTTTTCTATGGAATAATTTTTAGTATAACAGTTTTCTTATAGTAAAGTTCTATTTTTCTTTAATATTTAAAACACCCACCTTCAACTTTGGATTCGCTATCATAGCCGATTCCAAATGAAAACGTCCATCGCCCAGATAAATAATCAATTTTGTTGTTTCCGGCAGTGTAGGTGAGGTACAACCTAAAATTTCACCAGGACTTAAAGGTTTAGCCTGTGGTACTATCACATCATAACCGGCCGACTTTAATTCTGTGGAGGCGGCCTGTAAAGTGGTCACAAACTGTATAGTACTAACTAAAGCCATTTGTCCATCCTCTGGCTTAAAGTTCAACTTGACGGAATCCAAAAAGTGTAGAGGATCTATTTTGATATCCACAAATATATACAAAACTTTAATACCCTCTGTCTGATCGACCGGGATTAAACAACTATGACCATAGTGCACTAATAACTCAGCACCCAAAGCTTTAGCGGTGTAGTCATCAACACAACAGGCTCCATAAGTAACATCACCCATTATCACCGTATCGGCCTCGGTAAAACGTTCTATTATATCACTGATGACCATGGCATACATTAACAAACCTTCGGGTAGTTGTAAAGCCACCCTATTCGCTTTCATTTCCTTGATACGCCATATAGTTTTGTGTATTTCAAAATTGTAGTTGGCGGGTAAACGTTCAATGGCCTTTTGTAGCTGAGGATCATCGAGCAAACTTTGTGGTATACGATTTAGACGAGCTTTAGGTTTGAAAACTTTTTTCGGTTTAGCACGTACCACAACCACTTCAGTTGAGGTGGCTGGTGTCGAGGCGTCGTTTGTTAAAGGTTGAGCGCTGTTGATAGCGACATTAGGTTGGACTATGTCCAACATGGTGGCTATAAAGATAAAAATACAAGTATATAAGTTAGTTTTTTGTTTTTTAAACATTTAAATGTTGATAATTATTAATTTTAAAGGTAAAGTATTTTATTTTTGTTTAATAAAAACTAGAGTATGTAAAAATTGGGATTTTCTCTTTAAAAATTTATTTTTTCCTTTTTTTTATACTTTTTATTACGGTAACTGTTAATAATTTTTGCTTAAGGCAACCTTCTCCTTGTTTTAAAACATGTCAAGGATAAATTGCAATATTTTTCTACTTATGAAAACTCCATTTTAGTCACTTAATCAAAATGTAAACAAAACAAATGCAATTTCAAGTCAATATGTTTGTTTCTGTTTATTTAACAATTAAATGTAAATAATTGTAAAAATTATTTAAAATTCAACTTAAAACTAATTATTTTTGTTTAAAAATAACTAATTTTTACAAAAGTTTATATATTCTCTGCAAAAATTCAATTACGGTAAGTCTCAACAATTTTTGCTAATGGCATCACTCTTGTTGTCATACCAGTTGCAAGGATAAATGGCAACATTTTTGTAATTATGGCAACTCTTCTAATCACTCTCTCTCTCTTGTAAAATGTAAACAAAACAAATGCAAGTGCATTGACAGACAGACATTTTATCATTTTTTTTTACAAAATAAAACATAACTTTAAAATTTTCTACAAAAAAAAACTTATTATAGGTAAAAGAATTATAATATTTTTTATAAAAAAATAAATGCAGTTCGAATGCATTTACATGGAAAAGAAATATAACGGTTAATGTTTAAATATATTTTTGCTTATGGCAATTCTCTTATTAACTATCTCTCTCGTGAAAAATTCGCAAATGTAAACAAAAAACGTAAAAATGTAATATAATTACAACAGCATACATGTTTGATAGGGCTGTTAAGAAACTTGCAACATATTAAGTTTGTTGCAGCAAACATCATCAACAAACTTAATTGTTAAGAATTTGCCACAATCACTTACTAAATTTTTAAACACTACAATTAGTTTAAAGTTTTTGTTTTCTTGTTTTTTTTACAAAAATGGGAACACCTTGAACAAGTTTATTAACTGACTCACCTTTTTAGTAATATTTAGCTTTTGTTTATATTTATGTATTTGGTTTTTGGCCAATAATTATCATCAAATGTCACACACACACACACAAAGAGATTAACTAATTAAAACGGTTGTGTTTTTTATTTGTTTGTTTTGAATAAGATTTCCTGTTTTTTATAGAAAAGTTGTTTTTGTTTAATTTATAAATAGTAACACATAAAAAAATGTTGTATAATTTAAATTTATGCAAGAAAAACACAAACAGGCAGCTGTTTAAAATTAATTAATTTTAAAAAAGTTTAAGATTTTTTTAAAAGTTTATAAATTTTTTTACTTTTTAATTGTATTTAAGATTTATGTTTATTTTACAAAAATTTCACTTTTTATTATATGTATTTCCAAATTAATTTCTCAAAAAAAAAAAACTGCACACAACCTTTACGTTTAAATATAAATTTTGTAATGACTTCCAAAAACTAAGTACTTAATCATCAAACATCGAACAAAAACTTCTTATTATTCTTTTATGTATGCTTTGTTGCATAGTTGTTGTTGTTCTTTGTTGTTTATTTTGGTTTTTATGTAGGTTTGAACTCAAATTGTATATGCATGTGTCCACCATTAATACTAAACCTTAAGTCACGTACACCAAAAATTTTGTTCTTTTCATACATCATATGCTTACAATAAGTTGGGTTTTTTTTTCAAACTTCAAATTTCCCTTTACTATTTTTCACACTTATATCGTTTTTTGTTTACCTGTTGTTTAGTTGTAAATTTACAATATCACTATAAATTATTTTTCTAATTTGTTTATTTTAGCTTATATTACAATATATTCAAGAGAGCATGTGTAATTTTAAGTTTTTTTTAATGTGTAAAAAGCACGTTTGTTGATTTTTTGCTACAATTTTGACAATTATTTTGTCAGGTAACTGTCATTGATAAGATGAGTGGAATAACACAGGGTTGTTTAACATATAAACATATGTTTACAGAAAGAGTTGCCAGTTATGAAGACTTTATGAATCACGGCTTTTCAGTAATGTTGCCAATTGGAAATAGTGTGCTTCTAGTTAGGTAGGGGGAAAAATATATAAAATAAGAATTTTTGTCCCAAAAAAAAAAAAAACAATTGAAATACAGATTTTTAGCAATAAACTAGGTCCTAAGTTAAATAATATGTAGATTTTATTATAGTTTTTAAAATTGCATAAAATGTAGAAAAATTTTAATTTGTTAACCCATTTGCTAACAATTTGACTGCTACAGTTTCATTGCTCATATTTATATAATTGTTACACCGATTTTTTATAATTATCAGTAGAGATATTCTTTGAACTCAGGTCCATAATAAGGTGTTATAATTATTCTCCTAAGTTATCTGCAAGTTTGAATACTTGTAAAACAAACATTCAAAACTATTTTTTGGTAAACAAATAAGTTTACTTTCATTGAATTTATTTCAGCTATTAGTAGTCCGGTAGGCCAGAAATTTTTTTATAAATGATCTATCATGTTTGTACTACATTTATGTATATTTAACAAACTAGTCTATCTGGTTTCCTGGAGCACAGAAAACTTGATTATTTTGTAAAACAAAGTCAGTTACATATATTTTATTGCTATTTTATACTGTATGTACATCCATATAAAAAACAAGTCAAAGCATTTTCCGGAAGCTGAGAAATTTATTGAAAAATTTTAGTCAGAATTTAAGTCATTAATAGACCGGTGGACGAAATAAACAATCGGAAATGCCCAAGAAAGTCTACTAACTAAAGACGTAAAACAAATAAGTCCATGAGTTTTCTGGCATGGGATTTATGGGCGACTTATTGTGAACAGAGGTAGTCCTGTATTCTAGTTATTTTCCAAGGAATTTACAGGCCGTTGGTTCAAAATGTCAGGAAATATCTAGGGATATCTTAAAAAAGTAAATGACCAACCGGGGATTTTTATTATAAAACTTAGGTTGACCATTTCTAATCATAAAATCGGAAAAATAGCTTAACGATGGTGAGTTTTTATTTCAAAAATTTTTATTGGAATTCATTTGTAATACATTTCTTTGACAATGTAAATTAACACAAACACACTTTACATATTCATACGGACGATATTGGATTTAATAAAATTCTGTGCTTCCTTCCATAGCTCGATTTCTTCCAAAGTAAATTTCATTTTATTACCTTTCTCCACAATGCCTTGCAATATTTTAATGGTCTCCGTTTTGCGTTCGCCATAGGCCTCCTCGGCATTGTAAAGCAATAAGACAAGTTTCTCCTTTTCCTCTTTCTTTTCCTTCTTCTTTTTGTTATCCAATTTGGCCTCCGACGATTCCTCTTTCATCAAAAACAAATCGTGACGCATTTGAAAAATCATACATTTAACTTCACACAAATACTGATTGGCCTGCATAATGTTCTCATAAAGTTGGCAGACTTCAAGATCAAGTTGTAATTTAGTTTTATCGGGATCGGTGAGACGTTTTAATATTCCATCAACATCTTTGGCGAAAGAAGCAGATAGTTTTTTAACTTTGGCCAAGAGGTCGTTGATTTTTTCCATTTTTATGGTTTTTTATTAATTTTTTGGGAAAAAAAAAATGACGCGATCAACCTTTACCAATTGGAGATCCAAGCACAAATGATTTATTACAAAATGGCGTTTTTTAATTATGGCTGATTTTCATTTTTTTTATCATTTAAAACGGGGATTTTTTTATTTTGCGCCAAGGTATATTAATTATAAGGTAGTGTTAGCAGAACAGCTGATTGTTTTTTGCTAATACACCAAGGCGAATTCAGATAAGGTGGTGGCAGTTCTGCAACAACAACATTTTACATGTATTTTGTTTTTTCACATCAAATTTGTTTGACTCAAACGGTAAGTTTTTTGATTGTGTTAGTGAAAAAACTCACATGTATATATGCGGTGTGAGTTTTTTACTAACACAATAAAAAAAAACTTACCGTTTGAGTCAAACAATTTTATGTGTCGCCAAGGCGCTTTAAGTGTGATGGCAATGATCCAAGATATATTAATTATAAGGTAGTGTCGTCGGCGAATTCAGAAAAACAGAGCGAATTCATTTTATTTTTTATATATGGAGTTTGACAGTATGCCTACACTTCAAAGTGTCAAAAATCAAAAGTGTAATAGCAAAAAAGAATCAGCTATTCTGTTAACACTACCTTATAATTAATATTAGTTGAAACGAAAAGTCGACTTTTCGACTTTTTCATTTAGTTAAAAGTCGACTTTTCGACTTCTCGACTTTCTGCATTTTATGAAAGGTCGATTTTTCGACTTTTTTCATTTACTTAAAAGTCGACTTTTAGACTTTTCGACTATAAGTATTTTATAAATAGTCGACTTTTCGACTTTTTCCGACTTTTCGAATTTTTTCGACTTTTCGATTTTTTCCGACTTTTTCGACTTTTTGACTTTTTCCGACTTTTCGATTTTTTCGACTTTTTGACTATTTTCGACTTCTTTCGACTTTTTTCTACTATTTTTTGACTTTTTCCGAGTTTTTCCGACTATATTAGAGTTTTTACTTTTTTTCCACTTTTTTAAGATTTTCGACTATTTTTGACTTGTTTCTACAATTTTCGAGTTATCGACTTTTTACGACTTTTCGACTTTTTTCGACATTCTTCGACTTTATTCGACTTTTTTCGACTTATCGACTTTTTTCGACTTTTCGACTTTTTTCGACTTTTATTAACAAAGTCGACTTTTTGACTTTTTTCACAGACCATAGTCGAGTTATCGACTTTTTTGGAACAAAATAGTCGACTTCGACTTTTCGACTTTTTTCGACAAAAAGTCGATTGTTCGATTATCCGAAAGTCGATTTAAAGAACCCTAATTAATATACCTTGGCAATGATCTAGTGCTGTTAAAGTATTGAGTAGTGGGTATCGAGTATCGAGTATTTGCCCTATTTTTTACGTACTCAATACTAAAAAGTAGTTACTCAATACTTTCAGACTTGTATATGGATTTCACTTATTAAAATTTAACAGCTATGATGTGAAAAAATACAGCTCTACAACTAATACAGATCATATAATTATTAGAAATGCAACTCTTAGCAATATAAAATCAATGTAAAAATAATTAAAAAACTGCAATAATAGTTAAAAAGTTACAAATATTTATTGACGCAACCTAAAAAAAAGTAAAATGTCTCAAAAGAGGTGTGAAAAAATACGAAAAGTATTGAGTAATCAAAAGTAGTAGAATATTACAGCACTACAATGATCAAACAATAAAAATCACTTTTATTTCTATATTCCTTTTCTTACTTAAACATTTTGGCGTTTTTTTTGTTCCTTTAACGGTTAACACTGTTAGCAATAGTACCTAATGTTACAACCCTGTGACAGCTGTTATCACTTCTTTGTTTTTCTTCAAGCTTATTTATGCAGGTGTAAACAAGAGCTTAGTTATTGCTTTATTTACATATGAATTTGCTATCTTTTAACTGTCAATGTTGTTATAAAAAAAGTGACATTTATAATGTCTGCCCCTCATAGGCTAACTTCTTGTTAATACTCATTGTTTTTTCTATTTTCATCATACTCCAACACATCAACAAAATTGTATTGACTCATTTATTTTGTGTGAAATTTCTTGTTGTAAAAATAGAAAATTTATTTAAATTAATAAAATTAAACGAAAAAAACTTTAAACAACTAAAGTGAATATTTTATTATAGAAATATTTAATAGGAAACTAATGAAAAGTGTTTCTTCAAAGCAATAGTGCTTTCTCCCTTAGCTGTGGCAAAAAATTGATTTTTTTCTTTTAAGGCAAAAAGAAAATGTTTTAATTAACTATTAATTTTTAAGCAAATAACATGTTTTTGATTAATACCAATATAAAGTGGAAGCTCTTCAGCTTAATGCTGTTTAGCTTTAGCGTTTTAGCCAATGCTAGTGATATTACCAATGAAGTGTTTGGTGCTGTCAAGGAAGGCGTAGTAGCTGCCTTTGGAGACTTTAATTCCGATGAATTGACTGATGTGTTTCTTATAAGGGATAAAATGAAAGTATTGCAAATATTATATGGTGGGTGAATGCAAACATTCCTTTATTATAAAGAAAAATTTAACAAATTTATCTTACAGGAGCCGAAACGGAACCCTTTTTAAGAAATGGCCCCTATTGTAGTTATGAAAACTATCAAATCACTAGCGTAGTGCCAGGAGACTTTGATGGCGATGCCTTAATGGATGTGTTGGTGACCCTTAAACCTAAAGACTCCGACCAAGAGTTATATAGTGTGTTTGTGCATTGGGGTGGTCCGGAAGGTTTGAATTGTACTCCGGAGTCAGCGAAACCTTTGTTACAAACCCTGGGAGAACCTTTGGCTTTAGATTTTAACTGTGACATGATTATAGATCTATATGGTTTGAATGAAACGGGTGAACGTATGTTTTGGATTTTCCAAAAATCACGAGAACCTCCTCAGCAAAGGCGTCAAGCAACACCTACGGGAACAAATGCATTCCCAGCCACTATTAAGACTCCCAATGCTAATGCTTACTTAGATTTGAATGGTGATTTTATGGCGGACTTATTTGTACAAACCGATAAACACTATGAAGTGTGGTATGGTCGCTACGGCGAGCAAAAGGAAGATTTTACTTTTAATCACACTATCGATATATCCATAGTGGGTACTGATTATAATTTAGGTCAAGCGGTATTTGCTGATTTTGAATTGGAGGGTGTGGAGAATATCATATTGCCCGTGTGCTTCCACAAAGATTGCACCAATTCCACTATTCTGGTGCACGATGGCTCTAATTTCCGTGATGTTCATGTTAATTTCAAAGATCCTCAGGCTGTCTCCTGGGGTTTTGTGCCTCCCGTTAAAGATGATGTTTATTTGAAAACCATAACTGCCCGCAGTGGTGATTTTAATATGGATGGTTATCCCGATCTAATAATGACTCTACAAACCTTAACTGGCCCTAAACGTATGCAAACGTTCCTGCTGGAAAATGTTCCCTGTAAAATGTGTAATCCTCCCTTGAAAAGAACTTTTGAGGTTAAATGGAATGCTTTAAATCCTTTGGGTAATGATACTGTGGCGGGAGCTTTCTATGATTTCTATCAAGATGGTAAGACTTCTTCCCTTTAATTATGAAAAGAAATAATAAATTCACATTTTTATAAAATAGGTGTCCTGGATGTGATATTAATACAAAAAACCAAAAATGGCCAATACAGACCTTTGGCCTTCCGCAATACTTTGGACTATGATGCCAATTTTGTTAAAGTCATTGTTTTAACGGGGTTGGTCAACAAAAAGAATCCTACTATGCATACCGCCTTAGGGCGCAAGAAACGTACCTATGGCACTAATTTGCCCGGACCTCGCATCACCTACTTTACCACCACCCAGGATGGCGATCTACAGCGTGGCTCGTCTGTGCAATTGCCTCAATCCTCCTATTTTGCTTTACAATTACCCTACACCATCTTTGGCCTGGGTAGAACACCTAATTTTGTTGATTCTTTGACCGTGGGTCTGGGTCATATGTCTCGCCCCTTTACCCAGCTTATACCTAATTCTCAAATAATAGTGGTACCCAAACCCATAGAAGATCCTCAGCGCTGGAAGGCCCAACTGTTTGTGACACCCAGCAAATTAATTCTAATGAGTGTGGTGGCCTTGGGTGGCACTTGTTTGGTTATAGTACTCATCATTTTAGTGCTCTACATCAAGGAGAAACGTGAGGATAAACAGGAAAAATTGCAAGAAGCCCATCGTTTCCATTTCGATGCTATGTAAGGAGACAATTTTTTCTAAATTGTTTGAAGAAGTGATATTGTTTAAGTTGTTTTTTCTTGTCTCATTTTTTTTTTTAATATTATTAAAAAATTCGCTTATATTTTAAGTATTGTTTACACCCAATTTTTTCTTTTTATTTCATTTTAGTTTTAAGAATTTTGTTTTACTTTTTAGCACTATTGGAACATTTTAATTATCTAATAAAATACACTTTACTACATATTATTGTAATAAAAAGAAATTTCGTGAAATAAAAAGCAAAAATTAATTACATATTAACAAAGTAAAATAAAACAAGTAACTGATGTTGTGTCAATGATTTTCAGAGTGCCATTTTAGCGATTATTTAACAAAACTAGCGATTTTAATCACATGAAATAAGTTTTTCTGTAGGATTGTGTGACTGTGTGTGAACATTTTTTTCTATATAGAAGTTCTTTTGATTGTGAAGAACTTTTCCATAGAAAAATTTTCTGTAGAGAAGTTTGTGAACAACTTTTCTATACTTTACGAACTTTTAATGTGAATTTTCACCTAAATTTCAAAATAAAAGTAAATTTTTCACCAAAAAGTGAATTTTTCAATAAAAAGTGAATTTTTCAACGAAAAGTGAATTTTTTAACAAAAAGTGAATTTTTTAACAAAAAGTGAATTTTTCAACAAAAAGTGAACTATTCACCAAAAAGTGAACTAACTATTCACCAAAAAGTGAATTTTTCACCGAAAAGTGAATTTTTCAATAAAAAGTGAATTTTTCAACGAAAAGTGAATTTTTTAACAAAAAGTGAATTTTTCAACAAAAAGTGAATTTTTCAGCAAAAAGTTAATTTTTCACCAAAAAGTGAATTTTTCACCGAAAAGTGAAATTTTCAACAAAAAGTTAATTTTTCACCGAAAAGTGAATTTTTCAGCAAAAAGTTAATTTTTCACCAAAAAAAAGTGAATTTTTCAACAAAAAGTGAACTATTCACCAAAAAGTGAATTTTTCAACAAAAAGTGAATTTTTCACCGAAAAGTGAATTTTTCACCAAAAATTTAATTTTTCACCGAAAAGTGAATTTTTCAGCAAAAAGTTAATTTTTCACCAAAAAGTTAATTTTTCACCGAAAAGTGAATTTTTTACCGAAAAGTGAATTTTTCAATGAAAATAAAATTTTTCATCAAAAATTGCAATTTCACTAAAAATTTCCATTTTACCAAAAATTGTAATTTCACAAAAAAAAAAAAAATTTACCAAAAATTTTAGTTTCACAAAAAAAAAAAATTTACCAAAAATTTTAGTTTCACTAAAAATTTCAATTTCACCAAAAATTTTAATATCATCATAAATTGTTATTTCACCAAAAATTTAAATTTCACTTAAAATTGCAATTACAGTAAGAATTGCAATTTCAATAAACATTTCAATTTCAGTAAAAATTTCAATTTCACTAAAAATAGCAATTTTATAAAAAATATTTTATAGAATTTCACTAAAAATTTTAGTTTCACTAAAAATTTCAATTTCACCAAAAATTTTAATATCATCAAAAATTGTTATTTCACCAAAGAATTGCAATTTCAATAAACATTTCAATTTCAGTAAAAATTGCAATTTCACTAAAAATAGCAATTTTATAAAAAATATTTTATAGAATTTCACTAAAAATTGCAATTTTTCACCAAAAATTTCAATTTCACTAAAAATTTAAATTTCATTAAAAATTTTAAATTTTACCAAAAAATTTCATTTCACTAAAAATTTCAAATTTCACCAAAAATTTAAATTTCACAAACATTTTTTTCATCAAAAATTGCAATTTTACCAAAAATTACAATTTAATCAAAAATTTCACTAAAAATTTAAATTTCACTAAAAATTACAATTTCACTAAATATTGCAATTTATCCAAAAATTACAATTTCACTAAATATTGCAATTTATCCAAAAATTACAATTTCACTAAAAAATGCAATTTCACTAAAAAATGCAATTTCACCAAAAATTATAATTTCACAAAATTGTAATTTCATCAAAAAGTTAAATTTTACAAAAAATTCCAGTTTCACCAAAAATTTCAATTTCACTAAAAATTTTAAATTTTACTAAAAATTTCAAATTTTACTAAAAATTTCAATTTCACCAAAAATTTCAATTTCACCAAAAATTTTATTTTTACCAAAAATTACAATTTCCCTAAAAATTGCAATTTCACCATAAATTTCAATTTCATTTAAAAAGTGAAATAATTTTTTTTTAATAAAGTGGACGAATTTTCGTTCTTTTTGTTTTTATACTCTATTATTTTATTGGCATTTTATTGATATTTTTTAAATTTTTATTAATGAATTTTTTATTTCTATTAAATTATATTTAATTTTGTCAAATAAAAATTGAGATTATGAGCTTTTGAGTAAAGAAAATATGAAATTAAATTAAATGTATTTTAATTTAATGTTTTTTTCAAGGACTTTTTTGTATTTTATTTGTTTTTTTTTAATAATTTAAATGTTTATTATATAGTTTTTTTTTTGTTTGTTTAATTATAAGAGATAGTTATGAAAGAGATACTTAAAAAAATATATTTATGTAGATTGAGAAGGGGTGTTTGGGTGTGTGTGTGTGTGAACGTATAGACTGGCTTAAAATGAGAATTTAAAAGTTTTCTTTTAAGTCTTACAATTAAGGTAGTTTTTTGTATTATTATTATATTATTATTTAGCAACAAAATATTGTAATGTATAGCAGAGGATAAAAGTTGTTAAATTTTAAGATAAAGCAGTTATTTTTTAATAATTTTTCGAATTAAAAAAAAATTAACAAATTTCGCCATTAAATTTAAAGATTCGTTGTGGATTAAGGTGTTTAAAACAGAAATAATTAAATTATTTGTTTCCATAACTAAAGGGATTTACAGATTTTTAAGAAAATGCTTTAAATCTGTAACATATTAGTTTTTTTTTTTAGCTTTAATTAAAGAAATTTGTGTTTAAATATTTATGGTTCAGTTGGGTATATGGCAATTTTTGTTTTTATATTAAAATTGTTTTTTTTATTTTGAGTGTTTGTCTGTCTGTGTGTGTGTATTTTTTAACTATTTGGCTTTAATTCTTGGTTTTAATATGTTTTTATTATTATTAATATATAATTTAACAAATTAGTTTTTGAAGTTTATAATAATAGTTATACATAATAAATTTATTTGAAATATTTTAATTAGTTTAGTTAAAAATGGAAAATTTTGTTGCTTTTTTACTGATTTCATTGCAAATAAACTTAAATCTTAAAAACAAAAAAAAAAAAAAAAAAAACATTAAATTAAAAAATATATATGAGAAAAAATATTCCTGATATTGCTAAAAGACACTGTCTTTGCCAAAAAAACAAATAAAAAATAAAAAAAAGAAATCCCCCTGCAGCTATAAAACTAAAGAAATTTACTGATGCCAACCTAAAGATAAATTAAAAATTGTTAAAATTTCTTAGTGTTTTGTACAAATTTCTCTCACCTTTTCTTTTGGTTCTTTTTTATGTTGTTTCACCTTTGCCACTATCATCTGCATTATCATCGTCGTCATCATCATCCTCCTCATCGTCGTCTTCATCATCGTCATCGGTTGGTAAATCATCTTCAGTTTCTAAATCGAAGACATCATCAAAGAAGTTTGAGTCTAGTGTTGGTTCATTTGTTTCTTTTCGTTTTGGTTTAATGCAATAATCTTCGAGGGTCATGGGTACAACAATGCCTTCTTTTTTGGCCTCAGCATTGGCAGCTAAAGCTTGTTTACGTATTATATTGGGATATTCATTATCTTTGCCCTAAAAGATAGAATAGAACTGGATTAGAACAAAAGTAGAACTGAACTAGAATTAAACTAGAACTGAACAGAACTAGAACAGATCTAGAACAGATCTAGAACAGAACTAGAACAGTACCAGAACAAAGCTAGAACAGATCTAGAACATAACTAGAACAGAGCTAGAACAAACTAGAATTGAACTAGAACAGAGCTAGAAAAGAACGTGAACAGAACTAGAACATAACTAGAAATGGACTAGAACTGAACTAGAACTAAAGTAGAACTGAACTAAATTAAACTAAACTAAACTAGAACTGGATCTGAAGTAGAACAGAACTAGAACATAACTAGAACTAGAACAGAATTAGAACTGAACTGGAACATAACTAGAACAGAACTAGAACAAAACTAGAACAGAACTAGAACAGAACTAGAACAGAACTAGAACAGAACTAGAACAGAACTAGAATAGAACTAGAACAGAACTAGAACAGAACTAGAACAGAACTAGAACAGAACTAGAACAGAACTAGAACAGAACTAGAACAGAGCTAGAACAGAACTAGAACATAACTAGAACTAGAAACAGAACTAGAACAGAACTAGAACTGAACTAGAACAGAACTAGAACTGAACTAGAACTGAACTAGAACTGAACTAGAACTGAACTGAACTAGAACTGAACTAGAACTGAACTAGAACTGAACTGAACTAGAACTGAACTAGAACTGAACTAGAACTGAACTAGAACTGAACTAGAACTGAACTAGAACAGAACTTGAACAAAACTAGAACAGAACTAGAAATGAACTTGAAATGAACTAGAACTGAACTAGAACTAAACTAGAACTGAACTAGAACTGAACTAGAACTGAACTAGAACTGAACTAGAACTGAACTAGAACTGAACTAGAACTGAACTAGAACTGAACTAGAACTGAACTAGAACTGAACTAGAACTGAACTAGAACTGAACTAGAACTGAACTAGAACTGAACTAGAACTGAACTAGAACTGAACTAGAACTGAACTAGAACTGAACTAGAACTGAACTAGAACTGAACTAGAACTGATCTAGAACTGAACTAGAACTGAACTAGAACTGAACTAGAACTGAACTAGAACTGAACTAGAACTGAACTAGAACTGAACTAAACTAGAACTGAACTAGAACTGAACTAGAACCGAACTAGAACCGAACCAGAACCGAACTAGAACCGAACTAGAACTGAACTAAACTAAACTAGAACATAACTTGAACTGAACTAGAGCTGAACTAGAACTGAACTGGGAAAAATTTATAAACGAAAAAACTGCAACTGAACTAGAGCTGAAGTAGAACTGAACTAAAGTAGAACAGAACTATTACTAAACTAGAATTGAACTAGAACTTAACTAGAACTACTATTTGTGATGAAAGTTTTCTATAGAAAACTTGTTCTGTTTGTGATGTTCTGACACAAAATTTTGCATTTCTTCACTCCCTCACTCACCTGAGAATCTCTCCATCGTCGATACATAACGGAGGCATCAACATTCGCCGGCGAATATGTATTCGGTTCATTGAGCAACGAAATCACCGACAACAATATGGTTCGTACATTCTGTGTTGGATTCCAACGTTCACATGGCAGCTCACCACTCTGTGGATCATCGACCGGCGGATGTAGTATGGAAATACACAGATCACCATTTTCATAAACATTCGGATGCCAAACTTTGGTTAGAAAACGAATGGAAGGTGGTGAATAGGGATAATCATGAGGAAATTTCATATGAGCCTTAAAATAGCCACCCTGATAAAGCGTATCGGGTGGACCAAATATGGCTACCTCCCATTCGAAGAGATTATCGTCATTCACCAATTTAACGCGAAATCCCTCAACTGGTTCCTCTTGTAGTGATTTATATTCTAAGGCCAAAGCTCGTACCGCTGAGCTGCTGGGTGTGGCCAATGATGAAGAATTTGTAGAGGAAGTGGAGGCCAATGAATGTGACATTTAGTATTATGTTAGAATATAGTATACAATAAACACTCTTTAAATTGTCTGTCTTTTATGCAAATTGTATATTATGGTCGTTTTTAGTGGTTGTTGTTGTTATGAGCACAATATTTGTTGTTGGAAAATTTTTGTTTTCTTTTGTGGCACTTGCAATTTAGCTGAAAATTATTGAAATCAAAATAAAAATTAGATAAATTTTTTTTTTATTGTTTTAGTTTTTTTTTTAAAGTTATGAAAAACAACAACAACAATAAATTTGGATGTCATTAGCCAGCATCTCTGCCAAGGTGAACTAGCCAGCCAGCCAGCCACCTCAACCTCAATTTTTTGTTATTATTGTTGTTTTCTTTACACTATCTCATGCAAAATTTGCAACAACAAATTTTGTATGCATTTAATTTTGATTTTAATAAATTTTAACAAAAATATTAACACTTCATACATAAATTGTTTATATATCTTTTTTCTTTTCTGGTGAATTGCAAATTTCTTTTGTACTTTCTTTATTTCTATTGTTTGTATATATTTTTTATAAGAATTTTCTGCTTTTTTCTTTCCCCCCTTTCTCTTTTTTTATACAAATGTCATAAATTTTTCCAAGAACAGTTTTTTTCTTATATTTTATGGCTGCGTCACAAGAAAGTTTTTCATTTTTTTGTGAAAATTTCTTTTCTTTTTACTCACTTTGTTAAATTTCTTTTAAAAAGCACACAAATTTATTAAAATTTCAAAATATTTAATATTAGAAATTTGTTGAGTGTTAAACTGGGCAAAATTTATAAACGAAAAAACTGCAATTTATTTTGTATTTTTGCCGATATATTTTGTGTTGCTCGAAACGTATTTAATAAGAAAATGAGGGTTAAAGTAGAATAGAGAGAATGAAATAACGAACAAAACTGAGTAGAGAGTTGCCAGTCTGGAAATTTTATATAGAAAAATATAAATAACGAAGAAAATTAGCAAAAATATATGATAAATTAGTTTAAAACATTTAAAAATTAGTAAAAATATATGATATATTAAGCTTATGTTTTAATTTTTAATAATTTATATAAGATTTAATATTGATTTTTGTTATTTAAGCGTTTTTCTTGTCTCTTGTTTGCTGTCACTGTTTTTATTTATTTAAGCTATCATTGCTTAGTGAATGTGGTTTTAAAAAGAAGCTTTTTGTTATTGTTGTGAACTTTTTTATTATGGGTTTGTAGGGGTGTTTAGCTATTTAAACAGCCAGGAATATAAGCAAAAATATGTAATAAATGAATTCAATGTATTTAAAAAAGTAATAAAAATACATAATTAATTCTTTAAATAAAATTGTTTATTAGTATTTAAGCGTTTTTCTTGTCTGTTGTCACTGTTTGTATTTTTGTGCTATTACTTCTTAGTGAATGTTATTTTAAAAAGAAGCTTCTTGTTATTATTGTTGTGCTTTTTTATAGTGGTTTTTGAAGGGGGGATCCAGATATTTTGCCAACGCATTAAAAAAATTTTCCGTATAAAATTTTATTCCTAAAATGTTGCCTAAATTGAAAATTTCTTCGTTTTTATTAAAGGTAAGGAAAAATCTTATTAAAATATTTAAATGATTAGAAAATTTGATGTTTATATTAAAGCGTTTGGAGCAAGTTAAACAACAGTGCAGTGGCTGTTTGTTTGGGGTGTTTTATGCTGAGGGTACTTTGCTTTTGATGGGCTTTAATGTCGAGTCCACTATAGGACAATTGAATTATGAGCAAATACAACATAAATTCCCGGCGGAATTGGATTTATGTGGTTTGGTTAAATTTGGTCATTGTACCGATGCTGAGGCTCATTTAACAGAGATATTCAAAGATGTTGACATCACCGATAATCCTATATTATTGAATTGTGAACTCGGCACTTTGGTGGGTTTAAAGGCTTCATTTTTAATGCATGGCAAACTGCAGCAGGTGCCCTATGAGGTTTTGGAGGCAGAGTTTATTTATCGCGATTTTTGTTTTACCCGTTTAAAATTTAGCTGGACTATTTATACCGAAGATAATCCCTTGGCAGTGCGTAAGGAAATGCATGCTTTGCGCAAAACTATTTCCGGCGGCAGTTTAGCATTTAATATAGCTCCTTCACAAGTTTATATAACTAATGGTGGTGCCCAAGGTTCGGGTTATGCGGGAGCTAAAAAGTCCATTAACAATGATTCTGTTATTAAAGAGCTTTTATTGTCTCTGCAAGAGGCCATTTACTATCAGCAAGAAGATAAGGAAAATTCGGGGGAAAGGAAGGGCAAAAAATCCAGCCCCACGGAAATACAACTGAATGCTTTATTTGGAGCCTTGGGTTGTGATTATGATATCTTAAATATCGATGTTTTACGCTGCAAGACTAGGGAATTGACAGAGGCCGATAGTAGCAATAAAACTATGGCCTCCATGAGCATGTGCTTAAAGCCGGCCGAACGTAAGTTTAGTATACCCATAGAAGTGGAATCCATGGCTATATTAAGTAAAACCACCAAAGTGGGTAGACTGTATGACATATTAATCGAGAGTATTTGTCGCGCTTTGCGTTTGTGTGAGCAGAGCATTAATGAACATTTGGAGGAAAGCGAATCAAAGCAATTAATGGCTCCTCGAATGTTTAATTTCTTTCCACAGGTGAGTTTATGCTATAAAATGAATATAATTTATTTAAAACTTTTAAATACTTCCAAAGGAATTTGGTCATTTTATATCCTGTTGCTATTTGGATGGTCTGGCTGATGACAATAGTGTAATGCAGGAAAAACGCAAACGTTTACATCGTCACTTTGGTTTGAGTGTAACACGACCCTATTTTAGACGTTCCAATGCTTGTTTATTCCGTAATGACATCACCACCAATGCTCCACTGCTGAACACGCATGTTGGCCTTAAGCCAAGTGGTGTTCAAGATGGCAAACTATATCTGGTGCAGGGCAACTATCATTATTATCATTATTTGCAGCAACAAATGCAGGATAAGGGTTGGGGTTGTGCCTATAGATCTCTGCAAACTATATGCTCCTGGTTCTTGCTGCAGGGTTATACGGAAAGGGCGGTGCCAACGCACTTGGAAATACAACAATATTTGGTTAAAATTGGTGATAAACCTCAACAATTTAAGGGTTCTTCTCAGTGGATAGGTAAGATTACCCTCCCTTTCTTGAATATTAATTTAGTATTACAAAGAGTTTATTTTCTTTTTTAAGGTTCCACTGAGGTGGGCATGTGTTTGCAGGGTTTTCTTAATGTAGACTCTAAAATACAACATTGTGCCTCCGGTTCGGAGTTAGCTCTCATCGCTTCCGATCTGGCCATGCATTTTCAGACTCAGGGTACTCCCATTATGATTGGCGGCGGTGTTTTGGCTCATACTATTATTGGTATTGATTATTGTGTGCAATCGGGTCAAGTGAAATTCCTTATTTTAGATCCTCACTATACGGGCGAAGATGATTTGCATACCATCCAGGCGAAAGGTTGGTGTGGCTGGAAGGGTATGGATTTCTGGGATAAGAAAAGTTATTATAACTTGTGTATGCCACAAAGACCCATTATGTTTTAGTTGTATTTGATAAGCGATTTTCTGTTTTTTTTTTTTACTAAATTTCCTTTAAGTGGCGTTTTTTATTGTTATTTATTTTCAAAAGTGTGTGTTTCTGTATGTGTAAAGTTTTTTGCAAATTTGGGACTTTAGATAGTTATTCTAATGCTTTGTTTTTAAGAAATTATGTTCAATATTTATAAAGGTCTCTAGAGATTACATGAAGTTTTTTTTTTATAATTTTGATAGCACATTTTTTGTATTACCAGTAAAAATAATAAATGTAGAAAAAATAATTGCTTTCCCATTTCCAGATTTATTGAGAAGAAAAGTTGATAGCCGACCTCTTGTAAGGTCTTTAATTAACATTTTAACTTACCTGAAGGCTAGGCCAACTCCACTTCAATTGAAAATTAAACTGAACTTTTAAAACTGTTTTAAATCTAACACTTAACATTAACGAATAACTAGGTATTCTCTTCTCTTTATTAGCCACCACTCTTTGAGTATCTTTTCCAATATTTCTTAACATCATCATGACCATTTTTCGTCACCACCATTGTGCGAGTCCTTTCATTTTGCCACACCAGCACACTAATAGATTGAGCATAGTCGCGTAGGGTTACAAAATCGGCCTGCGATAAAAATTGATTATATACCACACCCTCGGTATATGTAAAACGATTACGTTCCAATTCCCACAGTTTAATTTGATCCACTACCGTGGGTGGTAAAGGAGATTTCGACTTAATAGCCGATTCCGTTAATTTCATATTGGGATGAGAGTATTGTTCTAAATAGCTAATAATTTGATCGGCTGTAATGCCGCCTCTGAGGGCCTGGCGCACAGAGTCGCGTGTCAACACACCCACCACTAAATTGGGAAAACGATACAGTAATTCTGTAAAGAGACCCAAGACGGCGACTTGTAAAGGTGAATCGGTGTAGGCATAAACACGATAATTTGTTTCCACTACTATGTATCCACTTTCCTGCGACTTTTCCTCTTCCAAAACGACCGCTGGTACAGTAGCAGCTTTATTGGTGACATTTAAGGCCAAACGGGTGGGATAAAATCTGCCCTCTTTACGTTTGCGTTGAAATACTAAACCAAATTCTCTTAAATGCTGCAGAAACGTTAACATTTTGGGTGACATTCCCTCAGAACTGTAATCCCTACCCAGAGTAGAGAAACTAAGTTGAAACAACATGCTGAGACATTCGGGCAAAGATAGACCTCTCTCTTCACAGGTGTCTAAGTACTGCAGCATAAAGTGCCATACCTGGGATTGAGTATCTAGCAAGAGAAACTGGAATCCCTGCCGTGTTATGGTTATAACCGAGTCCTCACGCTTCATAAGATTAGCATGTAATAGAATCCTCACAGCATCGGGGCTAATGACTTCGCTTTCTTGACTTTTACCCGAACCACCCGTACCCACCATGTAATGCAGCACACAACGCCATCGTGACATGGCATATTGATCCAGGAAAGCTATATCACGTGGTTTGGAATCTTTTTCCAAAGTATGAGACATAGACCAGGGTTTACCGCCTCCCAATAAAGCAATTTTTAGATTCTTCTTGAAGGTGGGACACAATTCCCAGGCCGATAAACCTCCCGGGATGGCAGTAGTGCGCCAAACATTTAGCTCAGTTAAGGTATTAGTGGAAACTTGTTGTTCTCTGTGTAAGAAACCAAAATGTAAGAACTATTATTATTTCCTAATATAAAAACCCCACTTACTTGGCATAATGCTGTGAACCCCAAGAGGCTACCACCGCCTGAGGCACCGGTTGTTCGGCAAATAATATGCGTATTATAAACTGCCTCGCTATTTCCGGCAGTTCCCTATAGACCGCTAAACATATAGTTGGGTAGTTATATAGTCGTTCCAAGGTATCCGCAGAACGTGTTCTCAGGTATTCTTGGAAATCTTTACATTGCAAATTGGCCGGTTTGTTAGCCAGCAGAGAAACTTGTGACGAAGAACGTGAGGATTTAGAGTCGCTCATTTCAATTGCAAATGAAACTAACGTACTCTAAGATGTTATTTAAATTGAATTTAAAACATTAATTTCTTTAAAAATAATAAAAGGTACAATTTATATGAAGAGAAAACCCGGTGCTGTTTGCTTCCAAAAAATTTACTACTGCGTTATATATAAAAGCTGATTGTTTTATGTTTGGCAAGATAGCCGCCGTAGAAACGTTTAAAGACACCGCCGACGTTAATATTTATCGGCACAGGCCTTTGAGTATAAATTTTGACATTAAAATGCCGCTTTTTTACTTGTTTACATTTATATTTAAATTGTTCCGCTAAAAATCTATAATTTAATGTTATTTTATAGTTAATTGATTGTTTAAAGTATAAAAACTATTCAAAATGAGTTTAAGTGATAGTGTATTTAATAATTTACGCCAAAAGTTGGATGTTATGGGCTATCGACAGTCATTGCCCTTGGCCGCTATACCACTTGTTGGAACCTTATTTGAAGATTTTATTAAAACTACCGAAAGTTTAAGAGATTCGAAAAAGCAAATTATGGAATTATTAGAGGTATTTATGAAATTAGTTTATATTTTTATTAATTGATTAATTTGTTGTTCTGTTGGGGCCAGAACTTTTTGTGTTGTCCTTCTGTGGGTTGTCATAGAGGTTTGTGTGGTCAGTTTTTTCTTGCTTGGTAGGGGGGTAAATAACAGTGTTGGCTTTAAATATAAATACAGATTTCTGTTTTCTATTATTTGAAAAAAAGTAAACAATTGAAATAGAACTGAACTAGAACTAAACTAGAGCTGAACTAGAACTGAACTAGAATTAAACTAGAACTGAATTAAAACTGATCTAGGACTAAACTAGAACTGAACTAGAATTGAACTAGAACTGAACTAAAACTGAACTAGAACTGAACAAGAACTGAACTAGAAATGAACTAGAACTGAACTCGAACTGAACTAAAACTTATCTAGAACTAAACTCGAACTGAACTAGAACTGAACTAGAACTGAACTAGAACTGAACTAGAACTGAACTAGAACTGAACTAGAACTGAACTAGAACTGAACTAGAACTGAACTAGAACTGAACTAGAACTGAACTAGAACTGAACTAGAACTGAACTAGAACTGAACTAGAACTGAACTAGAACTGAACTAGAACTGAACTAGAACTGAACTAGAACTGAACTAGAACTGAACTAAAACTGAACTAGAACTGAACAAGAACTGAACTAGAAATCAACTAGAAATGAACTAGAACTGAACTCGAACTGAACTAGAACTGAACTAGAACTGAACTAGAACTGAACTAGAACTGAACTAGAACTGAACTAGAACTGAACTAGAACTGAACTAGACTGAACTAGAACTGAACTAGAACTGAACTAGAACTGAACTAGAACTGAACTAGAACTGAACTAGAACTGAACTAGAACTGAACTAGAACTGAACTAGAACTGAACTAGAACTGAACTAGAACTGAACTAAAACTGAACTAGAACTGAACAAGAACTGAACTAGAAATCAACTAGAAATGGACTAGAACTGAACTCGAACTGAACTAAAATTGTACTAGAACTGAACTAGAACTGAACTGAATTAGAACTGAACTGAACTAGAACTGAACTAGAACTGAACTAGAACTGAACTAGAACTGAACTTGAACTTGAACTGAACTAGAACTGAACTAGAACTGAACTAGAACTGAACTAGAACTGAACTAGAACTGAACTAGAACTGAACTAGAACTGAACTAGAAATCAACTAGAAAAAATCATATGTTTATTTTAAATATACTAAAATGTTTTTTTTTGTTTAATTTATTTGTAAACTAATATTTTCTTTTCAACAGCTTAATTTTCCATTATTTACATCTGAAATCTTCAACCTATTTACAAAACAATCAATTATTGTTCTCAATAAAGTAAAAATTATTCATATTAAATGAAAATTTTTAAATTCTAAGTATCTCAAACAAATTTTACTGTATACTTTACTGTTTTCATTCCTTACACCAACTATTGTTATATATTTATGCCTACTACAAACTAAAGAAGTTGCTTATAACCTTTTCAACACAAACATTTTCCTTTATAATTCTTTCCGTTGTGACCCATTTAATAAACTTTCTATCATATCATGTTTTTATATACGAAAAAACAATTATTAATATAAAATCCTTTACCCTATTATGTTATTGCGTGTTTTTAAGGAAAAATCATGTTGGGAATTGGGTGTCGAACCGTACAAGTGTGATAATTCACGTCTACTACAAGAATGCAATCAATTGCATACACAAATCCTAAAACAACAAGAAGAATATGAGGAAAAAATACAAGGTTTGTTTCGAATTTAAAAGAAAAAAATCAATTTTATTTTAAAGAAATCTTAATTTTAGAACTAAATATTAAAATTCGAGATCTACAAACCGATAAATTACATTTACAACAACAGTGTGAACAGTTGCAACAACAATTAAAGCAAATACAAACTAAAACTGGCAGTACAAATATGAAAAATGGCAAGGAAACGAAATGTAAGATTAAATGATAAAAAAAGATATTATAATTTTAAAAATAAACTAAAATTAATTTAAAATATTTAAGCCAAGAAACCTTTTATTACCACCGTACGCTCAGGCCATGAATTGCCCGCTTTGCAGCCTTTACAGGATCATAATAGTAATTTGAAATGTACAAAGTGTAATATGGGTTATTATCAACGCATTGAGACCGGTGGCGGTTTAACAACTAAAGCTGCAGATAGAAATTTAGAACAATTAGAAAATACCAATAAAGATTTAATGGATCACATAAAATTTTATCAGAAAAAGGTAGAATTTTAAACAAATTCCTTAAACAAACACAAATACAAACATAAAAATATTTAAAAAATTCGTTAACAGATAGAAGCCCGCGATCGTGAAATCTTACGTCTTAATGATTTGCTGGCCGGAGGACGTCCTCCTGCTGCCTTGGCTCGTGATTGTTGCTATAAAAACTTTAACACTCTCAATGAAGATATTGATTTATTGCAGCGCGAAAAAATGGATAGTCTTACGCGAATGCGTGAATATCAGGAACAAATGCACGAGGCCATGCAAAGGGCTTTGGATTTAGAGAAATCAAATCGTTCTTTACAAAAACAATTGGAAGAATTAAAAGATGCCGCTTTAATGGTGGAAACACAAGCGAATAACGAAATTGCTTTAAGGGAGGCCGAAGTGGAAATGCTTAAAAGGCAGTTGAAGGAAATGATGACAAAAGAGAAGAGTGGTCTGGATAAACAGAAAGTCGAGTTGAAGAAGGGAAAGTCTGGGGCAGTGACCACAATAGACAAACATAAAATTAATGAGAAAATTAATGAATTAACACAAAAGGTAAACATTTTTATAGAAAAAAAATCAGAACTAGAACAGAACTAGAACATAACTAGAACAGAACTAGAACAGAACTAGAACAGAACTATAACAGAACTAGAACTGAACTAGAACAGAACTAGAGCAGAACTATAACAGAACTAGAACTGAACTAGAACAGAACTAGAACAGAACAGAACTAGAACAGAACAGAACTAGAACAGAACAGAACAGAACTAGAACAGAACTAGAACAGATCTAGAACAGAACTAGAACAGAACTAGAACAGAACTAGAACAGAACTAGAACAGAACTAGAACAGAACTAGAACAGAACTAGAACAGAACTAGAACAGAACTAGAACAGAACTAGAACAGAACTAGAACAGAACTAGAACAGAACTAGAACAGAACTAGAACATAACTAGAACAGAACTAGAACAGAACTAGAACAGAACAGAACTAGAACAGAACAGAACTAGAACAGAACTAGAACAGATCTAGAACAGAACTAGAACAGAACTAGAACAGAACTAGAACAGAACTAGAACAGAACTAGAACAGAACTAGAACAGAACTAGAACAGAACTAGAACAGAACTAGAACAGAACTAGAACAGAACTAGAACAGAACTAGAACGAACTAGAACAGAACTAGAACAGAACTAGAACAGAACTAGAACAGAACTAGAACAGAACTAGAACAGAACTAGAACAGAACTAGAACAGAACTAGAACAGAACTAGAACAGAACTAGAACAGAACAGAACTAGAACAGAACTAGAACATAACTAGAACAGAACTAGAACAGAACTAGAACAGAACGAACTAGAACAGAACAGAACTAGAACAGAACTAGAACAGATCTAGAACAGAACTAGAACAGAACTAGAACAGAACTAGAACAGAACTAGAACAGAACTAGAACAGAACTAGAACAGAACTAGAACAGAACTAGAACAGAACTAGAACAGAACTAGAACAGAACTAGAACAAACTAGAACAGAACTAGAACAGAACTAGAACAGAACTAGAACAGAACTAGAACAGAACTAGAACAGAACTAGAACAGAACTAGAACAGAACTAGAACAAACTAGAACAGAACTAGAAACAGAACTAGAACAGAACTAGAACAGAACTAGAACAGAACTAGAACAGAACTAGAACAGAACTAGAACAGAACTAGAACAGAACTAGAACAGAACTAGAACTAGAACAGAACTAGAACAGAACTAGAACAGAACTAGAACAGAACTAGAACAGAACTAGAACAGAACTAGAACAGAACTAGAACAGAACTAGAACAGAACTAGAACAGAACTAGAACAGAACTAGAACAGAACTAGAACAGAACTAGAACACTAGAAGAACTAGAACAGAACTAGAACAGAACTAGAACTAGAACAGAACTAGAACAGAACTAGAACAGAACTAGAACAGAACTAGAACAGAACTAGAACAGAACTAGAACAGAACTAGAACAGAACTAGAACAGAACTAGAACAGAACTAGAACAGAACTAGAACAGAACTAGAACAGAACTAGAACAGAACTAGAACGGAACTAGAATAGAACTACAAGTCAACTAAAATTCAACTAGGAAGGACCTGATTTTACAACTTATATGTGTATTTGATTCTTTTTACAGAATCTGAACTCAAGCAAGAAAATGATCACTTACAGCGTAAAGTTTCAAAATTAAAAACGAAACTGCAATACTTGCAAAAAGGTATGTTTCAATGCTCCAAACAAAAGACTACAATTTCTAACATTTATATTCCCCAGAAATCAAAGAAATCGAATCTCAACATGCCCAACATTTAGATGAAGAAAAAATACGCCTCAAATCGGAACGTGATTTCTTTCAAAAAGAATATCTACGCCTACTTAGCAAGGCGGGTTCAGACAAAGAAATTGAATTTCTTCAAAACCAAATTAAGTCTAAAGACGAAGAACTGCGCGTTTTACGTTCCGAGTTATGTATAAGACAAAGTAATGCTCTTGTGCCCTGCCTTAAAGATAACCAAAATCTTGCCTCCTCCTTACCCTCCACAGCACGTTCTACTGCCTCTAGTTCTAGCAGTGATTGTGTTCAGGCTGTGGTCTTGAGAGTGGAAAGAGAACGTGATTGTGCTAGAGCTGAAGTGGAACGTGTTAAATGTGAAAGGGATACATTAAGGGAGAAGCTATTGTGTACCACTAAAATGCATGATGAGCAAATGCATTGTACACAACAGCGTTATGAGGGACTTAGTGAACGTTTGCGGCAATTAGAAAGAGAAAATAGGGAATTACAATCAGCACGTATGCCATCGGAGTCACAAATAATGATGTTGAAAGATGAGCTGGAGTGCTATAAACAACAGCAGTTCCAATTGAGGGAGGAGAATAATAAGCTACAAACGACCTACAATCAGTTGAAGTAATTTGTGGATATTATAGTGGAGGATAAATTATAGAATTTGGCTACTTTTATTTCAGAATGCTACACGAACAGACCGAACGCTGTTTATCGGATTATCAAAATAAACTTTTATTAGCTGAACGCCAAATAGAATCCTCAAATATGCGTTTAAATACTTTAGATACCAATCGTGAGTCTTCCCAGCAGGAGGTGATCAGATTACGCAGTGAAGTAGCAGCTTTAAAGCAGACTTATGTTTCTTTGGAAAATGAAAAGGATAAAATTTTGGTAGGATTTATTTTTTTTAACAAATATTATTATTTGTTTATAAGACTTTTGTTTACTCTTTAGACTCAATTAGATTCGAAGACAGAGAAGGTTTATCAATTGGAATATGAACTGAAAGCCTGCAAAGAAAAACGTAATATGTTAGAGAAACAGGTTGGTGAATTGGAAGAGCAATTAGGGTAAGTGAGACATTTTTATTGCAAACAATAAAACATTTAATAACAAATAAACATTTTTTTATAAAAACTTTTTAAAGTTCAGTTCTAGTTCAGTTCTAGTTCAGTTCTAGTTCAGTTCTAGTTCAGTTCTAGTTCAGTTCTAGTTCAGTTCTAGTTCAGTTCTAGTTCAGTTCTAGTTCAGTTCTAGTTCAGTTCTAGTTCAGTTCTAGTTCAGTTCTAGTTCAGTTCTAGTTCAGTTCTAGTTCAGTTCTAGTTCAGTTCTAGTTCAGTTCTAGTTCAGTTCTAGTTCAGTTCTAGTTCAGTTCTAGTTCAGTTCTAGTTCAGTTCTAGTTCAGTTCTAGTTCAGTTCTAGTTCAGTTCTAGTTCAGTTCTAGTTCAGTTCTAGTTCAGTTCTAGTTCAGTTCTAGTTCAGTTCTAGTTCAGTTCTAGTTCAGTTCTAGTTCAGTTCTAGTTTCAGTTCTAGTTCAGTTCTAGTTCAGTTCTAGTTCAGTTCTAGTTCAGTTCTAGTTCAGTTCTAGTCAGTTCTAGTTCAGTTCAAGTTCAGTTCTAGTCCAGTTCTAGTCCAGTTCTAGTTCAGTTCTAGTTCAGTTCTAGTTCAGTTCTAGTTCAGTTCTAGTTCAGTTCTAGTTCAGTTCTAGTTCAGCTCTAGTTCAGTTCTTCAGTTCTAGTTCAGTTCTAGTTCAGTTCTAGTTCAGTTCTAGTTCAGTTCTAGTTCAGTTCTAGTTCAGTTTTAGTTCAGTTCTAGTTCAGTTCTAGTTCAGTTCTAGTTCAGTTCTAGTTCAGTTCTAGTTCAGTTCTAGTTCAGTTCTAGTTCAGTTCTAGTTCAGTTCTAGTTCAGTTCTAGTTCAGTTCTAGTTCAGTTCTAGTTCAGTTCTAGTTCAGTTCTAGTTCAGTTCTAGTTCAGTTCTAGTTCAGTTCTAGTTCAGTTCTAGTTCAGTTCTAGTTCAGTTCTAGTTCAGTTCTAGTTCAGTTCTAGTTCAGTTCTGGTTCAGTTCTAGTTCAGTTCTAGTTCAGTTCTAGTTCAGTTCTAGTTCAGTTCTAGTTCAGTTCTAGTTCAGTTCTAGTTCAGTTCTAGTTCAGTTCTAGTTCAGTTCTAGTTCAGTTCTAGTTCAGTTCTAGTTCAGTTCTAGTTCAGTTCTAGTTCAGTTCTAGTTCAGTTCTAGTTCAGTTCTAGTTCAGTTCTAGTTCAGTTCTAGTTCAGTTAGTTCTAGTTCAGTTCTAGTTCAGTTCTAGTTCAGTTCTAGTTCAGTTCTAGTTCAGTTCTAGTCAGTTCTAGTTCTAGTTCAGTTCTATTGTTCCCTTTTTTTAAATAAAGATAATTGCTGTTATTAAATTATTCGAATATTTATAATTTATTTCATTTCAATTTCGTATAATTTGTTTTTCTCTATGATAATGGCACAAACTTAAATTTAGCTTTTCAAAAATCTTATAACAATTTAAAAAACTTAAATACTAAACTTAAAAAATACTTAAAATAAAAATTTAGTTTTTGCATTTTTTGCGCATTGAGTCGGGAGGTTTTAACCAAATATTTCTAAAAACCATCTAAAAATCAAAATAAAATTAAGATTAAATAATAATATAGATTTAAAATGAATATAAACAGAAACATGCTTAGACATGAGAAACTTTTACAGGGAATGTGTAAAAACCACCACATACCTTTAAGTCTAATGGGGTTTAAACCTGTATTTGAAAGAAATAAAAGATTTTGGAAGAATATACAAAATGTAGAGACAACATGCAAGGTTTAAGAAGGAAATTTTAGTATACAAAAAGTTTTAGAATCAAACATGCAGTCTTGTTTTCTAAATCCCTGGAAATTTAAATTATTTACAGCTAGAGGTGTACAATTAGTAAGAAATTTATCTTAGAATTGAAAATTAGTCATGGTAAAGCTGGTAGAGAATTTGGAATTTTGTCGTTGACTTAGAGAATGTTGCGTCAAATACCTGGCTAAACCCACAGTGGGTGCATTACACTGTTGCACTCCCGCCGTTGTCATATTAGCTGCTCTCTCTGCGGGTGTATAACCGGGACGGCAAACACATTTAGCTTTAGTTTGTATTGATCTAGCTGTATCCAGAGTTAAAGATTTAATAGGTTCCAACCATTGACCCGGTCCGCAGGGCCCTCTACTATATAATTTATAACAATTACCCTCTAACTCTACCATTCCCGGGGTGGATTCACAAGTATTTGTAGTAGATTCTTCGGGGGTAGAGCACTGTTGATCTAGATTCTTAATAACCCCAGCACAGCCACACATACCATTATAGGAAATACCATCTACCGAGGGACGGGCGGTAAAATCGAATACCACCACCTGATAGAGATCACAGGGTCCTTGTGAACCTATGCGATAACATTGCTTCTGATCGGGAAAATATAAACGATTTTTACCACAGAAATTTCGTATACAAGTAGTAGAATTCAAAAGAAATTCGTCGGGACCACAGGGTCCTCGAGTATAAAGACGATAACATAAACCATCGGACCAGGGTACATAACCATCTTTACACTGGCATTTGGCTCGTGTAAATATAAGGCCATAGGCTTCGTTATCATTGGAACTAGTGTTTTCGGGCACTATGAACACATGACCCGGTGGACAAGGACCAGGAGAATCTAAAAGCAAAGATTTTAAAAGAAGAATTAATTCTTTTTACCTTTAAGTGGATTTAAAGGATTTTTTATTTTGTACTTAATTCATAACACATTTGCTGCTCTTCGTGATAGTGAGGCAGGAAACGATGACAATCACAACGTCCTCCCGGTAAAAATAGATGTCCCGGTGTGGAGCAAGGTCCTTTGGTATAATGTTCATGGCAGGTTTCTTCTAAATCATAAAAATAAGGACTTAAGGCTCCAGAATTTTGACACTAAAAAGAGATAGAATTGGATTGGAACAGAATTTAAAGAAAAATAGAACTAGAATAGAACTAGAACAAAACTACAACAGAACTACAACAGAACTAGAACAGAACTAGAACAAGAACAGAACTAGAACAGAACTGGAACAGAACTAGAACAGAACTAGAACAGAACAGAACTAGAACAGAACTAGAACAGAACTAGAACAGAACTAGAACAGAACTAGAACAGAACTAGAACAGAACTAGAACAGAACTAGAACAGAACTAGAACTAGAACAGAACTAGAACAGAACTAGAACAGAACTAGAACAGAACTAGAACAGAACTAGAACAGAACTAGAACAGAACTAGAACAGAACTAGAACTAGAACAGAACTAGAACAGAACTAGAACAGAACTAGAACAGAACTAGAACAGAATCTAGAACAGAACTAGAACAGAACTAGAACAGAACTAGAACAGAACTAGAACAGAACTAGAACAGAACTAGAACAGAACTAGAACAGAACTAGAACAGAACTAGAACAGAACTAGAACAGAACTAGAACAGAACTAGAACAGAACTAGAACAGAACTAGAACAGAACTAGAACAGAACTAGAACAGAACTAGAACAGAACTAGAACAGAACTAGAACAGAACTAGAACAGAACTAGAACAGAACTAGAACAGAACTAGAACAGAACTAGAACAGAACTAGAACAGAACTAGAACAGAACTAGAACAGAACTAGAACAGAACTAGAACAGAACTAGAACAGAACTAGAACAGAACTAGAACAGAACTAGAACAGAACTAGAACAGAACTAGAACAGAACTAGAACAGAACTAGAACAGAACTAGAACAGAACTAGAACAGAACTAGAACAGAACTAGAACAGAACTAGAACAGAACTAGAACAGAACTAGAACAGAACTAGAACAGAACTAGAACAGAACTAGAACAGAACTAGAACAGAACTAGAACAGAACTAGAACAGAACTAGAACAGAACTAGAACAGAACTAGAACAGAACTAGAACAGAACTAGAACAGAACTAGAACAGAACTAGAACAGAACTAGAACTAGAACAGAACTAAAACAGAACTAGAACAGATCTTGACCAGAACTAGAACAGATTTAGATCATCTTTTTTACCCACCTGACATTCAGCCAAACCTTCTTCATTTAATACTACTAGCTTTCCTTTGGTACAGGGTCCTTTGGTTAATTTCGTATAACATTTGCCATCCTTTGGCCAAAACACCATATCATCCGGACAAGATCTCGGTGTTTTGCAAACACCCCAACGATTCGTGGTTCTTAAATATATATAGTAAAGAACAAATTATTGCAAACATTAACATTTTATTATTGTAACATCCTACCTCTTAATCCCCAATTGTGTCTCTGCTATCGGACTGAAATACTGACCCTTATTGCAAGGTCCTCTCTCGAATATTTTATAACATTTATTATTTTTTGCACTTAACACAGTGCCTGGAGGACATCGACACTCAGCTAGGGGAGCATTAGACATAGATTTCTTCTTACTAGAACCTATAGAGGCTGTGGGTCCTAATTCCATTGTTTCGGGGCAGGGATAACCAATGGTGAATATTTTAAAACATTTCTTTAAAGGAGGCCAATATAACAATTGCCAACCGCCGGGCATGGCGGCACAAGGATTCTTTTCCGGATCACTCCAGGGCGGTGGTATAATAGCGGCATCGGCCTGTTGTGCTAGTAATAGAGTAAGAAAGGTTACCAAACTTAGGCCGGCATGTAAAGCTGACCAGTAGATTAAGAGTTTTCGTCGTTTCATGTCGGAGATTTGTGTGTGTGTGTGTTGGTTGAAGGAAGAGGGGGAGCTGAAAAGAAAGTAGATTAAAGGAAAATTTAAATTTTTATTTCTCTATTCCAAATTGATGTAAAATAGACATAGAGCATAACTAGAACAGAAGTAGAACAGAACTAGAACAGAACTCGAACAGAACTAGAACAGAAGTAGAACAGAAGTAGAACAGAACTAGAACAGAACTCGAACAGAACTCGAACAGAACTAGAACAGATCAAGAACAGAATTAGAACAGAATTAGAACAGAACGAGAACAGAACTAGAACAGAACTAGAACAGAACTA